TGAGGGGGTTGAGGCTGGGTTGCCTTGGAGTGCCCCACATCACTGAGGCAAGAGGGCTAAGGGAGCATGTCTTTATGCCCAGCACCGCCAGCCTCGACAGTCTGTTTCCCCAACTCTAAAGTGGGTGTAGTTGAGTGCTGCTGTGTGCTGATGGGGTAGTTGCTGGTCATTGAGGGGCCTGCAGAGGGACAAGGCCTGGAACTAGACGTTTCCTTCAGCCAGCTGGATACATGCAGGTGAGTGAGGGATTCATTGAAGCCGGGAGTCGTTTCTCTCCTGACCTGCCCTGAGCCTGGGGCTGGGGCTGGGCCAGGGTTCCCTCTCCTCGGGGACCTTTGTGCCTGGGGAAAGTCCTGATGTGCAGCCAAGCTCCTTCCTGTGCCCCGGCCTCCAGGCCACGTGGGCGAGTCTTCCGCGTGTCCCTCCCAGCTCCCCTGCACCAGCCTTCCCCACGGGGCCATCTGTGCTGTCTGTTCCGAAAACTTTAAAAACAAAACGTGAAGCATTGCAGGCAGTTTCTGAAGGCCTGTTGGGGTGGCACAGCTCCAGAGCAGTCTTTTTCCTGAAGTGGGTGGGGTCACTCCTCCCAGGCAGAGCTGGGGTGTTCTGAGGGGCCTGGTTTTTCGATCCCCTGAATTAATCACCTGCTTTGTACATTTGGGTCCCTGACTGCTGGGAAGGGCTGCAGATCCATACATCATGGCTGCATCAACATGTGCCCTGCCTTCAGCGTTTCTGGACTATTCTGAAGAGCAGGGCTGAGAGGACCTGGTCACCTGGCACCTTGGCCTTATTCTTTTTAACTTAAAAGAATGCTTTACAGTGTGCAGAATCTGTGGGTCTGTCCCCAACAGGTTTTCCTGTCTGGCCAGGCACACCCTCTGCCACATGCCTGCCCTCCTCTCCATCTGGGTCTCCTCACCAGCTCTTCCTTTCGCTGAGAGCCCCCTTCCCTGCTTCCCCTCCTGCCTGGCTAGCACCTCCTCACTCTGCAAGGCCTGGCCCAGAGGACGCTACCTTGGAAAAGCCCTTTAGGGTTATGTGTCTCCCCTGGGTTCCCGCCTAGCTTTGCTAAGCTGAGCTGGCCCTGGTGTCCCTTTTATGTGTGTCTCCTCCCCTGCCCAACCCCCAGGGTCCTGGCTGGTACTGGGAACCACTTGTCCTCCCTCTTGCTATTTCCTCACTGGCCGAGCTAGGAGAAAACGCCACCAGGGAGGCAGAAACACTAAATGAGATATCTGCGTGGTTTTTTTTTCAGGGCTCAGTTAGTTGATTAAATTGGCTAATGAGCAAAGGAAATTAATTGCAGTTTTGAAATGTGACCATGGCTTTTCGTGTGCTCCATCTGTGCCAGCAGCCTCTTGCCACTGCCAGGGTTTCTGCCCAGAGCTGCATGGCCTGACTGTGAGGAAATGTCCTCAGGACCCACAAACTGGGGGGTGGTACTCTGGCAGCTGGGTCTGGTGGGAGGAAGCCCTCCGGGAAGGACAGTGGGGCTCTGTATGTCTCTTTGGGCACTGTCACCAGCCTTGTTGGGGCTTCAGCCTGGGGCTGAGGCCCAGAGTTCCTGTGGTGCGGGGCTTGGTTGCAAGCTAGGGACAGGTCAGCTGTTACTGTTGGCCCCTGCGGGATCCTCAGGCCTTGCTGGGAGGCATGTGATCTGGATTTCCAACTGGTGGGGCTGGGGTGATGGGCTTGACCCCCGACATCCATCGGGGGCCCCGTCCACCCTCTGCACATGGTGTGCTTCTGCTCTGTGCTTCTCACTCAGCCCTGCCCACTTTATCTCTGCCTGTGGGCACTACCCCACCCTCACTGTCCATCCTGGAACAGCACCCCTGGTGCATGCCTGGTCATGGACATGGAGTCTCACAGGCTTGCACAGAGGCTCCTGTCCCGTTAACTAGCACTCATGGGCTCTTCTGCTGCAGACACTGGCTGGGCAGTGAGGCCAGTGCTGGGAAGAGGCCTTCACTGGAGACACTGTCCAGAGAGTGCAGTTCCTCCCCATGGCTGTCCTGGGACCCCAACCTGACCACCGAGCCCCTCCTCACCACTGAGTCAGCTGGTGCTCACGCAGGCCTTGGCTGAGGCCCCTGGCCCCTCCTGGCCTGAGATAGCAGTTTTCCATGTCAGTGCATCTGGGCCAGCAAGCCCCAGTAGTCAAGCATCTGTCCAGGTGTCAACCAGCAGATGTCCTCCATGAAGAGCAGGTCCTCAGGGTGAGGGGTGGAAGCCAGTGAAGTGAGCAGATGCCAGTGCTTTGCATGGACTGTGGGGGCCTGCTGGTTGAGGGAGGAGAGGGACAGAGGGCAGCGAGCAGCTTATGTGAGTGAGGTGGCCAGCAAGGTCCCAAGGGCTGTCCACTGAGTTCAAGTGGCCAGGCAGTAGCACTGACAACAAGAATTGGCACGCACTGAGTGCCTAAGGTGTGCAGGCCCCATCATGATGACCTCCTTCATTGCTACCACTGCCCAGTGGGTCAGTCCTGGTTTGGAGATGTAGAGGCTGGGCTTTGGAGGCCCACAGCTGCCTGGATGGATGGTATCCTGGCTTCGTGACCGGACAGCCTGGACACTGGGCCCTGTGTGCTGTGTGCCTTCACTGCAGCCGGTCTGAGAGGAATCTCGTTCCAGAACATGGAGCCCAGCCTTGGGGGTCTGGGAAGGAAGCTGGGGTCTCCCACGACTCACGGTTGGGTTGATGCTTCTCACAGTACCCAAGGTCTTTCTTTTCTTTTTTTGGCAGTACTGGGGTTTGAACTCAGGGTCTCATGCTTGCTGGGCAGGCACTCTACTGCTTGAGCTACTTCCCCAAACCTTTTTTGCTTTCAGTTATTTTTTGGGTAGGGTCTCACGTTTTTGTTCAAACTGCGATCCTCCTACCTCTGGGCTGCCTCATAGCTGGGATCATAGGCGTGAACCGTCATACCAGGTGTGTTGGTTGAGATGGGGGGTGTCTCAATAACTTTTTTGCCCAGGATTGGTTTTGAACTTGGATCCTCTGGATCTCCACCTCCTGGGTAGTTGGGATAATAGACCAGAGCCATTTCGCCTGGTCCCTCTCCAGGATCTTTCTTCCAAGAGAACAAAATCAGCAAGGACTCCACTGGGGGTCTTCTCCCATCAGACACCATGGCTAAATGCTAACCTTTGACTGTGCTTCCTCAAAAGTTCCACATACATCCAGGACTTGATTTCCCCTCTTGATCCAAGGCCACTTATGTGACATTCAGTGTGGTTTGTCTGCAGAGGGATGAGTTCCCCCTAGAAGCTTGGCAGTGAGTGGGGACTTGGAGCAGGACAGCCCCAATCCCTCAGCCACTCACAGCCTGGAAGAGTCAGGGGTCTTTTATTTGCACAGGTGGAAACAAACTCCAAGTGTCTTAAGTCATAGGTGAACATCAGCTCCATACCGTGTTCCACTTCATCCAGTCGCCTGCTGCTGGTTCCCCCCCAGTGACTCCACATGTAGCAGGCTTTCCCACATCAGAGCCCAGGCTGGCTCCATGCTGGAAAGATCCTGGAGCTAACTTGCTGGCACCAGGCCATGGTCCAGGGGCACACCTCCATCCCTGCGCTGGGCAGGACAATTGAGAGGCTGGTGGCTGCTCCATCCACCCTGACTCCAGTGGCCCAGAGGACAAGGGATGTGCCTGAGCTAGGAGTGACTCCTCCAAGGACACTGTGCTTGTGGTCCTGCAGGCAGTGGGTGTCCAGGCAAGGTTTCCTCTGGCCAAGGGGCAGAGGGGAGTGGTGGACAGGGCAAGGAACCCCAGGAAGGAGATTCCGTGTATGGGGAATCTGACCCCTTGTGCACATCTGACATTCAGGTGTGAGCTATGGGGTCAGGGCTCTGAGGCAGGGCAGGACACAGTGGCTCTGTCATCATTGTGTGGCTGGACGTGTGGATGCAGGCCTGGCTCTGAGGACAGCATAGGACGTGGAGGTGAGGGAGTAGATCCTTTTGCTCCATGGCTCCTGGTTCTTCTGTGGCCAGGTGGACTTGAAGCCCCTGTTGGTGCCTTATAGCAAAAGCACATTCCGTGACTAGACGGTGACACATCCCTTTTGTGTGGCCGGTTGATATCTGTACAAGAACATTGAATGGACACAGGAGCAGACTCTTAACAAACAGGCTCCAACCTGTCCAGGGCTTCCTGTGACGGGATAGGGTGTGTGAGCGAGTGATGGCTCTCTGTGGGCAGGGTTCCTGCTGTACTGTCCCCTCAGTATCACAGCCACTCAGGGTGTCCTTGTAACAGGCTGGGTTCCCATGTGGGGCCTTCAGAAGGTGGTGCCCCCTCCCCTGAAGCCTTCTGGGATGGGGCAAGGGAGCAGGGGTCCAGCTTGTCAGAGGAGGCCAAGTGGCCAAGAAGAGGCATAGAGGGAGAATTTATGGGTCAGGAAGAATCAGGTAATAAAGGAGAGGGGAAATAATTACAGCAAGAAACTAAGTCAGTGGGGATGACCCCCCTATAACTTACAAGGTAGGAGAAAGGGAGAGACTTTGAGAAGAATTTCTCTTCCTGAGAAATTCTTGTTGAGCACCAGTTGGGAGAGAAAAGTTTTCTGCTTCTGAAGAGGAAATGGTTGCATTATCAGAAAAAAAAGGGTGAATATTCACTGCATGCTTTCTGTAGGGCGGGCACTGTGGGTCTGGCTGCTTTTCTTGTTTTTGTAGCAGTTGGTGGGCAGACATTGCTATTCCCTTCTTACCTGGATAGTTTTGGGGATTTTCCCAAAGCACAAGGTTGAGGCTGCACAGAGGTGTCAGGGCCAAAGTGTGGGGTGTGGCACCAGCAAGGGTGACAAGAGGATGTGTGGATCCCAGATCATGTTGGTGTCACCATGCAGTCTGGGGAGTCCTGGGAGGCTGGAGGGGACTGTGGACCGTGTCCATCTTACATTCCCTATGGTGAGGCCTTTGGCAGTGCTGGTTCTCGGTGGGTGGTCGGACTGGGGGCTGCGTTCCAGCTGACCAAGTCCCCTGCCCTGCAGGTTCCTTCTGGTCTTCTCCTGCCTCGTGCTCTCCGTGTTTTCCACCATCAAGGAGTATGAGAAGAGCTCTGAGGGTGCCCTCTACATCCTGGTGAGCCCCACACTGGGCGGTGGGTGGAGGGGGCGTGGGGATGGGAAGGACCCACCGCAGCCTGGTGCCGAGACCTCTGCCCCAGCCCCCACAAGTGGTGTCTCTGTTCCCCCCACTCTGCCTGTGTGAGCCTGGTCTCAGGTTTAGGTGGGGGCTGTCCTTGCATCTGTGACACTGCTCCACCTGATACTTTGGGGTGGCCTCTAACCCCTCTCCAGCTTCCTAGTCCCCAGCACAGGTGACATCACAGTCCCCATTGTCCCTGTCTACCTTGTTGCTTTTCTGGAGCCCAGGTGCCTCACAGGAGCTGTGGGGTGTTCCCTGGCAGATGTGGGCACGGGGTGGGGGGCTGTGATACTTACTCATAGCAGCCCCATGATGGGGCAGGGGTGGGTGCCATGACAACGGGACTGTGATTTCCGTGTTGCCATTGGTAACAGGGATGGGGAAGAGGGCCCTTCAGGGAGATTCGTTCCCACCCGCTGCTCCTATACCCCCCTACCCTCTGCCTTAGGGCTGCCTGAATGCTGGGCAGAAACTGGTCCCCCTTTGTTGTCACCTGGAATCCTCCCTCAGCTCAGCCCTGCTGTACCTTCCACACTACCATAGTTCACACCTGGCAGAGTCTCCCCCCAGCTCAGACAGGGCAGCCCCCCTTCCCCCAGCTCAGACAGGGCAGACACTTCAGACAGGACACCCACTTTAGACAGGGCAAGACTCTCATCTCAGAAGGGGAGGTGGGGAGGGTTGTCTTTAGGCCACCTTGCCTGAAGGTAGGCTCCCCAGAGGGCCCCAGCCCTGTGGCCCCAGGTCCTGTGTACAGAAGCCCATGACCCCTGCTGTGCGACTGGCTTGGCTGGGGGGTCCAAGCTTGCAGGTCCTCTTCAGGGCCTCCAAGCACTGGGGCTCTGTCTCTGGACTGGAGCTGCCCACCTGGTAGTGTCCAGATGGCCCTAGCCCCTCCCCGGGCCTTGTGGTGGCCTCAGCTGTGGCCTCCCCCATAGGAAATCGTGACCATCGTGGTGTTTGGAGTGGAATACTTTGTGCGGATCTGGGCTGCAGGCTGTTGCTGCCGATACCGAGGCTGGAGGGGGAGGCTCAAGTTTGCCAGGAAGCCGTTCTGTGTGATTGGTGAGGCCTGGAGGGAGTGGTCACCAGTTGGGCACCAGGGATGGGCGAGGGGGCAGCTCCTTTGTGGAAGTTTCTTCTCACCTCTGACTTGGAGTCAGAGCCCATGGCTAATGTAGCCTAGATGTCTGGGAGGAGGAGGTATTGGACAGCCTGTCCCAGACCTCACTGGCAGGCAGGGTGGACAATAGCAAGTGTCTTTTCTGACATCCACACTGCCCAGACCCCACACCTGCACCTTGTATGCACTGTGGGCTTCGTCTGTTCTTCCCCCCGGCACCCTGGGGATGTCCCCACCCCATCTTCAGTGGGGAAAAGAGGCTGCCCTCGAACACTGCCATCTCCCGCAGACATCATGGTGCTCATCGCCTCCATCGCCGTGCTGGCCGCCGGCTCCCAGGGCAATGTCTTTGCCACGTCTGCGCTCCGGAGCCTGCGGTTCCTGCAGATTCTGAGGATGATCAGGATGGACCGGAGGGGGGGCACCTGGAAACTGCTAGGCTCGGTGGTCTACGCCCACAGCAAGGTGAGCAGCCCAGCGCCTGGGAGGGCCTGGCCTGGAGGCTGGGGTCCACGTGGGTCCCCCACTGTCCCAGGCTTGCTCCAAGGTCCTGGGCAGATAAGATAGGGGGCCAACAAATCTGGACTGGGCTGGGGGCCTGCCCAGATACAAATGAACCTTCCTCCCATTTCTTCTTGGGGTTTCTTTCTGCAGTTTGACCTATCTTTGTCACTTGTCCCCGGAAAGCTTCTTTTTCTCCAGGCCAGTCTGCCGGCCCCTCCCTGGAGCCACTCGCTCTGTGGTCCGGTGTCGCCTTTCCTGGTTTTGAGTGCCTGGAGTGATAACATTGCCTATCACTGCCCAGGTGGTTGTTTAAGCTGCAGCTTGTGGTGGCTGCTGGCAAGGGGATCCCACAGCCCTGGGGTGGCTGTGGCCACATGTTCTGTGTTCGGTGGGTCCCAGGTCCCTCAGTGGCCAGTACCTGGTTCTTTGCGGCTGTGCCATGAGGCCAACTTGGGCAAAGTGGACTTGTTTAACCAAAGGTTCCTCCCTGTTTTCCCGACCCCTGTGCCGTTTGTTGACCATGGTTGCTTCAGGCGTTGGACCTCTGGGGGTGCTGGGTATTGAGGGATTGAGTACATGCTGGCTGGGGCCTATTCCCATTTTGGGTGCCATCTCTGCAGGGCCCCCATAGTCCCATTACTCTCAGGCTGGCCAGTGTAAATGCTTCTCAGCCTGGGCAGGCCCTGCATACTGTCCATTGGTTACTGGCTGCTGTTTTCCTGGCTCAGATGTGCAGCTGAATTGTGCTAGGGTGGCTTTGTACAACCAACGGCCCCTCTGATGCTACAGGCCGGGCCCACCCTGACTGAATCTCTGTTAGTCTCAGGACAGAGGTCCAACCCCCAAAGTCCTGGAGATGCAGATCCCAGGGCAGGGCTCCCAGGCTGGACACTGGCCAGGCTGATCCTAGTGTGGTGATGACGTGGCCTATCTGCTTGCAGGAATTGGTGACCGCCTGGTACATTGGTTTCCTCTGCCTCATCCTGGCCTCCTTTTTGGTGTACTTGGCAGAGAAGGGTGAGAATGACCACTTTGACACCTACGCAGATGCTCTTTGGTGGGGCCTGGTAAGTCCTGGTGATTGTTCCTTCCCCGAGGACTATTCGCTTCCTCCTCATCACCTGCCTCCCACCCACCATCCTGAGGATGGGCACTGCCCCTCAGGTCCTGGAGGGTAGACCCAGTGCAGAACTAGGTGGACATGTCTCTTGGGGGCCACCTGCTGGCTGCCTGTGACCATCACCATGTGCGTAGTGGGAAGAGGCTGCATTCTTTCCTCCCCATTCACTGCTCCTTCTCACCTGATTCCCTGGATGCTCTGGACAAGTGAATGTACAGAACAGAATCTCCTGTCCCCTGGGTGGCCCTGAATGTGCTGGCCAAGTGGTCTTGCAGTTATCTGGGTGGGTGCTGTACATCCAGAGCCAATGAGAAATAGGCTGGGTGGCTTTCCTTGGGGGCCAGGCTGGAGGGCAGTTTATTTGTGATTGTTCTTTCGAGGCCATGAAGTCTAGAATTCTGTGTCCTCATATTTTACCTCCCCAGAAGAAGCAGGGCTGCCAGGAGTAAGGCAGGAGAGAGTGCGTGAGGGACCCAGGTCCAGGGGCGGATGTACCTGGTTCCCACTGACCATCCACATTTGTCCAGGCTCTGCCATGACTTGTTGACTGGCTGGCCCTGGGGCCCCTTGCTGGTGCCACGGCCGTCCTCCCCTGGTCCTCTTGTGGGCCAAAGGCTTCTCTTTCAGAATCGAAGTAAAAATTTTATCTATTTTTTCGAAGTAATATTTGTATATATTTTAAAATGTCTGATGGGCTGGGCACAGTGGTTCATGCCTGTAATTCCACCTTCTTGGGAGGATTATGGTTTGGGGAAAATGTTTGTGAGACCCTATCTCGACCAATAAAACTGGGTGTGGTGGTGTGCGCCTGTCATTCTAGCTACATGGGATGTGTAAATAGGAGGATCACAGCACAAGCCGGCAAGGAATAAATGTGAGACCCTTCTTTGAGGGGGGAGCGGTACTGGGGATTGAACTCAAGGCCTACACTGTGAGCCACTCCATCAGCTCTTTTTGTGTTAGGTATTTTTGAGATAGGGTCTCACAAACCATTTGCTTGGGCTGGCTTCGAACCACAATCCTCCTGACCTCTGCCTCCTGAATAGCTGGGATTACAGGCATGAGCCATAGGCACCCAGCTGTGAGACCCTTTTTGAAAAATAATTGAAGCAAAAAGATCTAGGCACGTGACAGAGCACCTGCCCAGCAAGTGCAAGGCCCTTAGTTCAACCCCAAGTACTGCCAAAAAAGAACTAATGGTTCCCCAATTCAGCTCCCCGTGCTCCCTTCTGGGTCTCTGCAGCCAGCACCCCTGTGGCTTTGGGGGGGTGACTTCCACTCAACAGGCCTATGTCCCTATTTCCTGATTCAGACTTCAGATGCTGGCTGCACACCTCCTCTGTAGCAGCTCCAGGTTTGCCCCCCAGCCCCGTTTGCTCTTCAGGCCCTGTGACAGGGGCCTCACAGGGTCCTACTCCTACCTCCTCCCAACCTAGAGCCGCACTTTGGAGGACAGGTCCTATAGCTGCCAAGAAACAGTTTCCGGGGATGGTTTTTTGAGCTCGTGTGTCTGAAAGTGTCCTCTCTGGCCTGCCCAGTGCGTGCCAGGGAGGGGCCTGGCCACCTTCATTCACACAGATGCCTCTGACCTGTCCTTTGGTCCAGCCCGACCTGCACCATCTGCGGTGGTGCCAGGGTCTTGGGTCTTCTGGAGTTCTTCAGCTTCACCCGGCTGCCCCATTCCCCAAACCTTCCGGCCTGAGTCACATCTCACTGACTGTAAATAATGTACAATATAAGTCTAATCAGAATTGTCAGTATGAATCCCCTCCCCCCCATATAATGAATGTATCCTAATAAAAATGTTTAAAAAAATAAAGATGGCAGAATGGAAAAAATCCTGACACACACACACACACACACACACACACACACACACACACACAGGAAGTTATGTGAAAATACTGCACATTGTAGCTCAAGTGCTTGCCTAGCAAGTGTGAGGCCCTGTGTTCAAGTCCTAGTACCACCAAAGGGAAAAACAAAAAACCAAAACACTGCACAGGAATACAGGTACATGCAGAATCTCATGGTGGGAGAGGGGAAGAGAGAAGTTTGGTGGTGGGAGGTGAGTTTCCCAGGCCTGGCCTGTTATCTGTCACCAGCTTCCTGGTGCAGATCTGCACACAGGGAGCAGCTGACAGTGCCCCTCTCCTGGGCCGTGGCTGTGTTGTAGGTGGGCCTGGTCAGCCAGGTGGCTTCAGCATACTCACCAGCTTCAACCTGTTCTTCAGACTGCCCAGTGTGTCCTCCATGTGTCTGGGGTGGACTCTGGGCTGGGACCACTGGGTTCCTGGTGAGCAGTGTCTGTGCCCTCTGTGGGAAGGACAGCATTCCGTGGTTGCATCTCACCTTCCCTCTACTTATCTAAGGTCCCATCCCCCAGCGCTTATGCTGGGCCCACCTGGGCCCAGCCAAGGGACATCTCAACACTGGCTGTGAGGCTGTCCTGAGCCTCTTGCTCGTGGAAGGTGTGACTGTGGTAGGTGGCAAGTGTGCTGTGAGACCTTACCCCCACCCCACACTGTTGTCAGGCCTGGGCAGAGATACCTTGAGCGTGCTCCACCCCAGGTCACCCCAAGTGGGTTGCTGCCGCACTCACCTGGAGAGACTGGCTTGGCCTGGACCCATCTTGCCACCACCCACTCAAGAGAATTCTGAGCCTAAATCCCAGGACTCAGGATAGCCTTCCCTTCCTGTAGCACCTCCCTGTGGGGTCCATTCCTACCCATTTGTCTTTCCTCTTGATCACCTCCCACCTGCTACTGCTGCCTTTTGTTACCCTCTGGGCCAGGCTTTCTGCCTCTGCCACAGCCCCAGCCTTTGCCCTGATCCAGCCCCCGTACCACTTCTTGCTCCTGCCCCAGCCTCTGCCCCCTCCACCACCTCTGCCCCCGCCCCGGCTGTTGCCCTAGCTCCAACCAGCCCCTCCCGCCGCTCTTGCCTCTGCCCCAGTCCCACTCTCTCTTTCAGCCTCAGCTGACATGTCACCCTCAGCTGGACCGCCACACATGTATCTCTGGGTCCCTCACACACTTCCCCTGCTCTAGGCCCTGGCTTGCTCGGTACTTCCTCACTGCCCAACTCCCCCACCTCAGAGCACAGTCCAGGGGCCAGACAGGTCAGCAATTCACTTGGGGAGGAGACTGCTCTCCTTTCGTTGAGTCCTCATGTGAAAGCTGTGGTTTCCTGAGTGACCTGGGAACACTGGGAAGGACTACCTCTCCAGCATGGAGAAAGGGAACAGATTTGGAGGCTTTGGGGAAATTGCACCAGTGAAGGGTAGCCAGCACTGACCCTGGCCTCATTTTGCCCTGAAGGGGATGGTGTAGGCTTAGGTCCCTAGTGGCTGCTGGTGTCCAGCTACACCTAGAAGTGTGGGTGAACCCTCCACCCCAGGGCTCAACAGGGGCACCTGGCCTGGGTTGTAGGACTCTGTGGCAGCCATTGCTAGCCTGGCTGAGTGACGTGGGTCTCTGTCCTTCAGATCACTCTGACGACCATTGGCTATGGGGACAAATACCCTCAGACTTGGAACGGGAGGCTCCTGGCAGCAACATTCACCCTCATTGGCGTCTCGTTCTTTGCTCTGCCTGCAGTAAGTCCTGCCTTGATGGGGAGACAGGGTCTCACAGGCTCCCCACAGGACTCTCAACCACAGGCTTTCCTGGCCACCACAGGCCTACAGGGTTCCTACAGGGTCCCTGCAGTGTCCACAGCCCCTGGATAGTACTATCTCTGGACCAGAATGGGGCTGCTCTGACCTAGGAGCTGGCAGCCTCCCCAAATCCAAGGGCACTCATGGCATCCCAGTCTATGGCTTGTGACCTGGCTCTGTTGGCCAGATTGGCTCCTCCCATAGACCAATGTTGTATTCCAAGCTGAAGACAGGGCCTCTGCTGACTTCACCCCATCAGGGCCAGCAGAGGGAGGCTGGCGTGGCCTTGGTGTGGACAGATCAGGGGAGGGGGCTCCCCTTTGAGTTCGGTGTGGGCACTGCCACACCTCCTGCTGGCCAGAGCTTTCCTTGACCCCAAATCCCAGGGTTCCTCCCAGTGTGGTCCCCAGGGAATGAAGGACTGGGGAAGTGGGAGGGTGGAACCCATGAAGCCTGAATTCTGGCAAAGGCTGAGAAGGCATGGGTCCCAGACCTGGTCTGACCTTGGTGACCTGCAGGGCATTTTGGGGTCTGGCTTTGCCCTGAAAGTCCAGGAACAGCATCGGCAGAAGCACTTTGAGAAGAGGCGGAATCCAGCAGCTGGTCTGATCCAGGTGAGTCTTGCCCAGGGGTGGAGCATGCTGACCTTGACCTGAGGATGAGATAGGAGTTAGGAGGGTGGGTTAGACTTCTGAGCCTGAGGAGTCTTCAGGCCCTTCCCCATGTGGACAGGGCCACTGTCCTTGTCCCTCGGCAGGGGCCCGAATGGGAATGTGAACGTGTGTGAGAAACAGTTCAGACATGGGAGGTGCACTGCAGGTGCTCCTGGTGACGATCCTGGCTGGCCCTGTCCTTGGTGGGTGTCCAGCCCAGGCTACTCTGGGACCTGCCAGGTCACCTTCCAGCATTCTGTGAGGCAGATGCCTTAGCACACCCGTTCCAGACCTGTGACTTAGGTCATCATTCAGGTAGTGAGGAGTGCCTGAGCCATGACTGTGTGACCCCAGGCCTGAGCTGGGGACATTGTGCCATTCTGCCCTGAGCTCAGCCAGCTGGTTCTACTGTTCAGGGACAGGGAGATGTATCAGTCGTCTGAATTTGCTAGTTGAACAGCAGAAATTCTTGCTGGACCCTCAAGTTAGTTGGGGTTTATTGCCAGCTGGACGTGGCCCTGTCTCTTGTTTCTTCTTCCCTCCCTCCCCACTTCCTTCCTTTCTTTTGGTGGTACTGGGTTTTCAACTCAGGGCCTCAGTAACCACTCTACTACTTGAGCCATACCCCCAGCCCCTTTTGTCTTTTCAGTTGTTTTTCAAATAGGGTCTCACTTTTTTGCCTGGGCTGGCCTTAGACAGAGATCTTTCTACCTACACTTCCTGGGTAGCTGGGATCACACGTGTGCATCATCACACCTGGCTTATTGATTGATATAGGGTCTTGCTAACTTTTTTGCCTGGACTGGCCTTGAACCATGATCCTCCTTATTCCCACTTCCTGAGTAGCTAGAATTACAGGAGAAAGCGACTACTCCTGACACTTTCTGTTTAAAAGATGTGCCCTTGTGGTCTTGGCCTTGGGTCCAGCCTACTTTCATGTCTATATGTATGCATGTTTTTTATCATTCACTATAAAAATCCAAATGGATATTGTTTTATAATTGCAAACTAGTACCAAGAAGAATAAAAATGCCCATAAGCTCACTTCACTATTGACAATTGAAAAAAAGCTACTGCAAGTCCATGGCTAAAAGGTTTCAACAGTACAGGGAATGGCATAGATTGAGCCCCTCTTTGCTCATCAAGGTCACTCAACTGCAGCCTGCACATCTCCAGAGGACAGAAGTGCCACCAAAGGCAGTGGGATGCCCTCCGCCCTGCTTCTGCATTTGCACATACGTTCCCCCTTGCTAGGACATATGCTGTGTCTTGGGCTCTGCTGGGAGGTTTTCCCCACAGGTGGGTGAGGGGAGCATTTCCAGAGCTTTCAGCACATCTCCAGTTGATGACTGCCCCAGGGTGAAGTCTGCTGCTTCAGCAGAGCAGTTGATCAAAGGGCCCCTCCTCTGAGGGAAACCCACCTTCCCTCAAGTCTGAAGGCTGAAGGTTGGGCTATGGGGACAATAGCAGCCCTGCCTCAGGAGCAAGAGGGACTGGAAGGACTTTCTGAGAAGCCTATAACCTGGGTGTGGTTCCGGATCCCAGGGAGGAAAAGACCCAGAGGGAAAGCTCCAGAGGAGACACCAGTGCCCACTGTGCCCTCAGGATATTTGAGGGCTATCTCTCTTTTTCTGGAAGTCAGCCTACCTGGGTCTCATGGCTTTTGCACATGGCCCTTGTACACTAAAATTGAAGCATCATTGAAAGAAATTATGAGGACCTGCAGAAGCATACATGTTCACAGATTGGAAGTTAATCTTGTTAGTATGGTCTTAACAACAATGATCCACAGATCCAGTGCAATTTCCGTCAGACGCCCAATACCCTTATTTGCAGAAATGAAAAAGCTGATCCTAAGATGAATGTGGAGTGAACAGTGGACTCTGAATGGCCAGGACAATCTTGAAACAGAACAACCAATTTGGAGGACTCACACTTCCTGATTTCAAGTTTTGCTACAATAGCTAAAACAGTGTGATTCTTACATAAGGGTAGACATATAGATTAGTAGAGTGAAAAGTCCATAAATAAGCCGTGTGTGGTGAGTTGATTTTGGATAAGGGTGCCAATTCGGTAAGACCAGTCTCTTCAACAGATCATACTGGGACAACTAGGTTTCCATTCTTAAAAGATGAGGCTGGATGTGATGGCGCAGGCTTGTAATTATCCCACTCGGGAGAGACAGGAAGGTCGTGAGTTCAAGGGCAGGCTGGACTACTAAAAATCCTTATAAGAAAACATGCTCTATGGTGTTCATCATATTTATAGCTATATTCCTATACATGTATGTCACCAAAAGCACAAGCAACAAAAGACAAGTTGGTAAGAGATAGCATAGATAAGTGGGACTTCATAAAACTAAAAAGCTTCTGTTCAACAAAAGAAATGGTCTCTAAACTGAAGAGAACACCCACAGAGTGGGAGAAAATATTTGCCAGCTACACATCAGACAAAGGACTGACAACTGATAACCAAAATAGATAGGGAACTCAAAAAACCAAATTCTCCCAATATTAATGAACCAATAAAGAAATGGGCAAGTGAACTAAACAGAACTTTCTCAAAAGAAGAAATTCAAATGGTCAAAAAACACATGAAAAAATGCTCACCATCCCTAGCAATAAAGGAAATGCAAATTAAAACCACACTAAGATTCCACCTCACCCCTGTTAGAATAGCCATCATCAGCAACACCACCAACAACAGGTGTTGGTGAGGATGTGGGGAAAAAGGAACCCTCTTACATTGCTGGTGGGAATGTAAACCAGTACAACCACTCTGGAAAAACATTTGGAGGCTACTTAAAAAGCTGGACATTGATCTACCATTTGATCCAGCAATTCCACTCTTGGGGCTATACCCAAAAGACTGTGACACAGGTTATGTCAGAGGCACCTGCACACCCATGTTTATTGCAGCACTATTCACAACAGCCAAGTTATGGAAACAGCCAAGATGCCCCACCACTGACGAATGGATTAAGAAAATGTGGTATCTATACACAATGGAATTTTATGCAGCCATGAAGAAGAACGAAATGTTATCATTCGCTGGTAAATGGATGGAATTGGAGAACATCATTCTGAGTGAGGTTAGTCTGGCCCAAAAGACCAAAAATCGTATGTTCTGCCTCATATGCAGACATTAGATCAAGGGCAAACACAACAGTGGGATTGGACTTTGAGCACAAGATAAAAGCGAGAGCACACAAGGGAGGGGTGAGGATAGGTAAAACACCAAAAAAACTAGCTAGCATTTGTTGCCCTTAACGCAGAGAAACTAAAGCAGATACCTTAAAAGCAACTGAGGCCAATAGGAAAAGGGGACCAGGAACTAGAGAAAAGGTTAGATCAAAAAGAATTATCCTAGAAGGTAACACCCACGCACAGGAAATTAATGCAAGTCAACTCCCTGTATGGCTATCCTTATCTCAACCAGCAAAAACCCTTGTTCCTTCCTATTATTGCTTATACTCTCTTCAACAAAATTAGAGATAAGGGCAAAATAGTTTCTGCTGGGCATGGGGGGAGAGGGAGGGGGCGGGGGGAAGGGGGAGAAATGACCCAAACATTGTTTGCACATATGAATAAAAAAAAAGACAAGTTGGACATCATCAAATTAAAAACTTGTGCATCAGAGGTCACTCTCAAGGGAGGAAAAAGAAAACCCACAGAGTGGAGGAAAATATTTTAAAATCAGGTGTGTGGTAAAGCGTTAGTATCTAGAACACATGAAGAACTCTTACAACCCTTCAGTAAAAGACAAAGACAACCCAAAAGATTGTTAGGCAAAGGACTTCAATAGACATTTCTGCAAAGAAAATAAACTGGCCAGTAGGCCCATGAAAAGAAGCCCAAAGGCACTGGTCATTAGAAAATGCAAATCAAGCCATGAGATGCCACTTCACATTCACTGGGATAGTTGAAATACAGAGTGCGACCTGTCTCAGAAAACCTAAATAATTAAAGGACAGCAGGCGTTGGCGGGAACGTGGAGGAAGCCATTGGAACCCCCGCTCTCTGGAAAGCCACCACACAGGCTCCTCAGAAAGGCAAACTGGAGTTTGCATTCTACCCAGCAATTCCACTCCCAGGTTTAGACCCCAGAGAACTGAAAACAGGTGTTCAGCCCAAAGCTTGTGCAGCGTTCATAGCTGTACGACAGCCAAAAGACGGGAACAACGCGTGTCCGCCCGTGGGTGAATGCATGACAAAGTGTGAGGAGTCCTCGGAGAACGTGAAGCTAGGGCACCGTGCTCAGGACAAGAAAGGCCCTGTGCTGTGATTCCATTTACAAGACGTTTCTAGAACAGGCAATTGGAGACCAGTGCGGATTGGTGGCTGCTAGGGGCTGGGGAGGAGGGAATGGGGAGCAATGTGGGGTTCCTTTCTGAGGGACAAAAAGGTTCTGAATTAGCTAGTGGTGATGGGTGCATAGCAGTGTGTGGACTTTAAAACGGCTAAAGCAGTGGGCTTTACGTTACATGTATTCCATCACACACAAAAGGGTAGGGAAGAGGAAGAAGCCCAGGCCAGTGGAGGTCAGTCTATGTAGTAAGTTCAAGACATTCAAGACCCACTTGGAGCTACTGTGCCTAGGGGCCGAAGGTGTGTCCCTGCCTTACTCCCTCCTCGCAGGCCCCCACTCAGAGGTCCAGGGTGACATCCCTTTAGGACTAGGGAGGGCAGTGAGGTCACCACTGTGGACAGACCCTCCAAGCATCAAGCCAGACCCAGTGAAGGAAAACAGCATCAAGGCTTCTTGCAAACTCACCGCAGCGAGCCACGGGCCGATCCGTTGGTCAGCTCCCCCTACTTTACACCAGCATCGGCAGGCATCTTGCCTGCCTGTTCTTCAAGGGTAAACTGAGGCTGCGGAGTGAAGACAAGAGCCAGGACTGCACAAGAACTACAGCCTGAACCTCTGCCCAAGCCCCTGCCGCCTGGACCGTGTGGGCTAGGCCCTGAGAAAGGGGTTTGCCCTGGCCCTGCTGCCGCCCCACACTGATCCAGACTGTCTCCCTCCACAGTCCGCCTGGAGGTTCTACGCCACCAACCTCTCACGCACCGACCTGCACTCTACATGGCAGTACTACGAGCGCACAGTCACTGTCCCCATGTACAGGTACCTCGCCCAGCTCTGCCTGCCTGCCTTCCACCGTGGCTTTGCTTTTTAATTTCCGTTTGTTGTTGTTAAACCCCATTTTCTGTTGTTCATTAATTTTGATTGACTTTTGCTTTTTTTTCCTTTAAAATGTATTTTTCAAAAAAGAATTGTGTGTGATTTGTTTCAAATTAATTTCTTTCTTTTGTTTTTTAGCGTTGTGGATTTTGTTTCTCACTCTCATTCCCTGCCTTTTGCTTTCTGTCCCTTGCTGTGGGCACTGGGGACAGGCCCCTCTTCAGGGTACCCTACGAGGTAAATGCAGCCTTGGCACTGGACCCCCTCCAGCACTGTGCCCCGATAGTGACTGGTAGGTCCAAGTTTTAGGCAGAAGGCAGTCAGAGCCCCATCCTCCACCAAGGTCCAGGGTCTCTGTGTGGGGGAAGGGGCGTGACCCTAGCCACAGTGAGGGTCTCAGTTAGGAAACTCCATTATCTAGGGTGCCCCCAATTGGACAGAGCCCAGGACACCCCTCCCCTGGAGTCCTTGGGCAGGAGAGGAGGAGGACAGGACGGACCTCTCTGGAGCCATCGGGAGCAGCCTCAACAGGCTCTGTAGGTTAGCTGGGCAGAGGGCAGGTGGACCACCAAGACTTGTGTGTGCTGGGCTCTAAGGTGAGGTACTGAGGTCTGTGCACACAGTCCATGCAGCCTGTGCTGCTGGGTCAGACTCCTTAGAGTGGGCCTCACACTGCCATTACCCTCTGTTCTGAAGTAGACAGCTGTCCACCTGAGCCCTCTTCAAGCACACAGAGCTCACCTGGGATTTCTGGGCTGGGGTCATCTTGAGGGTCTTGATGGCAATGATGGCCAGAGGCCATTCCACTGGTACCAGTCCTCTACAGCGGCATTGCCTGGACCCTCCCTCAGCATCCACTGCAGGCTCCTCTGGAGCACTGAGCCTGGGACTGGCCCTGCTGGTCCTTCTGGAAGCTCCGGCGTCCAGTGTCACTCAGTGCTGTGCTCGGGACTGGGCCTCTGCTAATTTTCTTTGTTCTGTTGTTTCCCCCACTTCCCTCGACTGTTTTTTTTTTTCATTTTCTTTTTCTTATCCCGTTCTTTTAAATATTTTGGTTCTTTTCCCTTTGTGTGTGTGTGAAAACACTCGAAAGCTCGCAAACTCAAACCTACGGGGCCTCCAGGTAGGACATGCATGGGTCAGAAGCTGTGTGTGTGGTTCTTGTTCTCTGTGGGGCAGGTACGGGGTGAGCCCTCAGGAGCCCCCACGGCCCATCCACTGGCCCCAGAGCACTCGCCCCTGTGGTCCTCATGCTGGGCATTGTCAACCTTGTCACCTGCAGCCTTCCCTGCCTGGAGTCCACAACTGTTTCTCCCTAACCCAGTGTGAGCTCTCCTCCCTCTCTGGCTCCTGCTCTTTCTCAGTGGCTGCTTCCTTGTTGCTGGATTCCTTACTCCAGTCCGTGTTTTGTTTCTTGGCCTGCTTTCTGCCTTGTCTTATAGCTGTGCGCCCCCCCCACCTCCTCTCCCACCCCATGACCCCATGTATGAACAGAGCAGCGTGGGGGTTGTGGGCCTCACCATGTGGCTGGGGGACCCTTGTCCAGAGCCAAGGGTACATCCCAGACCAGAATCCCAGGCCAGTGGAAGCTGGTTCCCGCAAGAGGGCCCCTGCTTGGGTTGCCTGCCTCTGGGGTTTCCCTCCCTGAGCTTGAGTTCCCCCCATATCAGGGAAGTGTCCAGGCCCTGGGAGCAGAGCTGTTTGAGCAGCCACCCCCTCTTTCAGGTAGTGACCTCTCATCTGTGCCTCTCCCAGGCTGTGCTTTTGGTTGGTGTGAGAAGGTGGGAAACAGAAACTTTGCTCAGATGGGGGCAAGGGTCCCTTCCCTGTGCTGGATGGTGGCACAGCGACCCCTGCAGAGTAGGGCCACCCCCCTGGGGACCAGGCCAGGAGGGCCCTATCAGTGGGCCCAGGCTCCTTTTGTGGAGCAGTGACCCGTTGGCTAACCTTCACGAGGACTGGGTGAGGAGGTCAAGCTTTCCACTCCTAGGAGGGAGGAGCTACTGGGCAGTGGCAGGTCAGGCCCCACGGGCATGTCTGCCCCCACCCCCACTCCTGCCCAGACCCCAGAGGTATAACTGGCCATGGGAACAGTGTCCTCCTCCTGGACCCTGGGCTCCCTGCTCCCCTGTAGGCGAGGGGCCTGCGTTGGGCTCTGGAGACTTCTTCTAGGCCTGGGTGGTTCCTTTTGCCTATCTCTCCAGCCAGGCTTCACCCAAGAAAAAGACACTCCGAATATCTGCAGCTGCCCACCCTGGCCTACGTGGCTGGAGTTGTCTTTAAAGATGGCTGAACCCGCAGACCAGCCCATGTTGTCTCCTGGTGTCGATCCCTGCCACCCTCCCCTTGGCACATTGTACCTTCATCTTCCATGTGCCCAGAGGTGACCAGGCTATGCACGGCCCAGCCCCGTGTGTCTGCCCTGGTGGCTGCTCTGTGTGTTCTGGGCATGCGTCACGTCTCAGAAGGCTGATGTCCTGTGTCTTTAACCTGGGCCTGTGTGTGGGCCGATGGCGGAGGGCTGTTTCCAGGCCCAGGGGTGGGTAGCCAAGGGGTGGGGAGACCACCTGTGTTCCCATGGACAGGCTTATGCTGCACCATGGCAGGAGCTGATCAACCTGGCCACTGGCTCCTGCTTGGTGCTGACCCACCTGGACAATGGGTGACCTGGGGGAAGGGCAACAGGGGGGAAAGGGGAGGAGGAGGAGGAGAGGCAGTAAGAACTCACAGGATCTCCCTCTCCCCACCAGCATTTTCAAAGCCCCTCCAGGGCCTGGCTTTGCTGGGCTGGGGGTGGCGGGAAGCCAGGAGGGGCTGGGGGCAGCTCTACCTGCTGGAGCCTGTGCAACCTGCTGGAGGGACACCCATAGATTTAAGAGGGGCCAGATAACCAGAGGTCCCCCACCACTCTGGGGGTGGTGCCCAGAGCAGGTGGGACTAGGGGTGAGCATCCCAGTGCACAGAGGCCTTTTTGGGCAGAGGAGCAAGGATGGATCTGGGGCCAGGAATATGGCTAGTTGGGCCAGTGGGCTCAGAGTAGTTTTGTTTTGGAGGCCCTGGGGAACAACTGAGTGTTGGAGTAGGAGAATGACAAGGGTGCTGGGCAGGTCTGCAGTATGAAGCAGTATGGGGCAGAAGGATGGGAAGAAGTTTCAGGAGCTGGGTGAAGTGGGCAGAGGAATGCAGAGATGCAGAAAGGGGCTGTGGCCACTTAGAGAGTGGGGCTGGGTGAGGGCTGGGCTTGGAGGTGGCTAACTGTGCTACAGGACCCCGGGCACAAGGGCACAAGTGTTGCACTCTGCGGCTGGAGGGTCAAGAAAGATGGGCACAGGAGGCTCTGCAGAGTAAAGGGATCCTGAAGCAGGGTGTGGGATGAGTCAGGACAGGAGTGGTCAGGGTCTGTGGTCTACCATCCTCCAGAGATTTCTCCCTAAAAGAAGGTGCAAAGTATGCAAGGCCGCCGTGGCAACTGAGGGTTAAGGTGGAGAGTGGGGTGGCCAAGCAGAGTGAAGTGGAGAGGGAGGAGTTTGACCCTGAGGTCAAACTCTGTCCTTGAGGCTGTGGAGTAGCGGGAAGGCGGGAGCCAGGTGTGTGGCACTCGGGGGAGTGTGTGGCCAGGTCTAGGGAGAGGGGAGCAGAGCCAGGCCACCTGCCCAGGTCCTCAGGGCGACTGGGCCTGATGAGGCCAGAGGTTGTCCCCTGCTATCCAGAACACTCATCCTACAGCCCAGAAATGAACTTCTCTTTGCCCAGTAAAGCCTACTTCTGTGACCTTGTCCCCTGCAGTGTCCCCGCCTTGGCAGGAAGAAAGCTCTGCAGAGGAGCTCGGGGACCCTGAGGCCCTGAATGTCTTGGGGTGCTATGTCTTCAGCTGCATTGCCCCTTGGGGATGTTCAGGGGTTGGGAGTCCCCCAACCTGGGCTCTGATCTCTGACTGGCTTCATGCTGAAGGGTGGGCTCTCGGGTACAGACAGGAAATGCCCACATCCAGGGCCCAAGCCCCAGGAGCAGCTCAGAGGATAAAGAAGGCCCTGGGGCTTGGCAGAAGCAGAAACACTGAGCCCAGGGCCCTGGGTGGGGTGTGTGTGGAGGTCTGGCCACCCCCACCCCCCCTGGTATTTGCTGCCTGCTCTGGTGGGTGAAGTGGATGCTGATGATAGGGGCTGAGCTGAAGCTCCTGTGCAGACTCACTCCCCTCTCCTTCTCTCATCCAGACTTATCCCACCTCTCAACCAGCTGGAGCTGCTGAGGAACCTCAAGAGTAAATCTGGACTCACCTTCAGGTCAGTGCAGGGTCTCCCAGGCTGGGGCTGGAGCTTTGGGGCAGAACAGGCAGCTCAGACTTCTTCAGAGGCCCCAGCTGACTTGGCCGGTGGCAAGAAGCCCGGGCGGGGGGCTGGCCCCAGATAGTAGCCTCTGAACTCTAGGGAGTTGCTGGGCTGTGTTTGGCTACTGATCTTAGTGATGTTGGTGACTTCTCTTCCTACTTCTGCTAGCCATGTTGCAGCTTCTGTCCCCAGAGGAGCCACTGGTTCAGTGGGTAGACACAAGGGAAGGTGGTGTGGGTGAGGAGTAGGGCTAGAAGCTCTGCTAATGGCTTATCCTCAGGGCCCAAGTGTGAAGGGGTGTTCCAACCCTGCACCCTCTCCAGTGTTGGGTGGTGATGCATATACTGGTGGCATCTCCTAATCTTCCTTTAATTACAAAACCAGTGACTCTTGCCATGCTTGGGTACAGAGAAAGGTGTGCAGAGGGCTTGCCCTCAACAGAAGTGGAGAGCCAGCCTGTTCCCAAGCCATTTTCTGTCTCTGAAGAGCCCTCAGCAGGACAGAAGGGTTGCAGTGACTTTGAGTGTGGACCCTGTTCCCCAAACTGCTTCTCTGGCACCTGTGAATACCGTCTCCATCATCCTGGATTTCCCTGTGGGCTCTGGATGCAATTACATTGTCCATAAAAGGAGAGGGAGGTTTGGAGGCCTCACAGGGGAGAGGCCTAGTGAAGGCTGAGACTGGAACAATGTGACTACAAACCAAGGACACCTTGAGCCACTGATTGCAGGAAAAGGTGATGGGTTCTCCTAGAAGCCAGGAGTTGAGCCCAGCCCTGTGACACCTTGGTTTTAGGCTTCTCTTCTCCAGGACTGTGAATAACTTTGTGTGGCTCAAGCCACCTAATTGTGGCATTTCTTGATGACCCCCTAGCCAACCAGTGCAGACTTTGAAGTGCTGTTGTAAGAAACCCCTAAAAATGTGGAAGTGAGTGTGGAACTGGGTACTGAGTGGGGGCTGGAGGAGGTTTGAGGTGCCTGCTGGAACAAACCCATGTTGCCTTGAAGAGGTGGTGTCAATGGGGCTTGTGGTGAGGGCTCCAAAGGAAGTAAAATCATGACAGAAGAAGTTTTTATTGTCATGAGCAGAGTGTTGCCAGAAGTACTAAGCTGTTAATTTTTCTGTTGCTGTGACAAAATACCTGAGATAAACAATGTAAGGGAGGATAGGTTTATTTTGGCTCATAGTTTGAGAGTTTTCAGCCCATGGTCAAGGGCTCCATTGTTCTTAGGCCTATGGTAAGGCAGGAACACTGTGGAAGGGTGTGATAGAGGAAGGTTGTTGACCTCATGGCAGCCAGGAAGCAGACACAGAGGAGGCCAGAGACAAGATATACCCTTCAAAGGCACGCCCCCAGTGACCTACTTCCTCCAGCCTGGCTCCACTTCCTAACAACCCATTCAGCTGTGAACCCATCAATGGATTAACCCTGGGATGAGTGAGGTGAATGCCTTCCTGTCAGGTGATGGCACTTCTGTTGCAGCCCAGAAGGAAGCCAGCATGGTTATCCAGGATAGATGTGCAGAGGACTCTCCTGGGTCCCACTGGGTCCCCCAGGTTTTTTGGCAGCAGAAACATTGCCAGTGTGGCCTGAAAAGGAGGGAGGCAAATGAAATGAGAATGGCCATAGGGTTTCTGGGGTCTGCAAGCAGGAGTGAGGCAATACGTGCTGCCCTTTAGAGCTGGGTAGGGTGGGCCCCACAGCCAGAGCAGAGGGTGATGGAGGCAAGAGCCAAGGGTTATTCCCAGAGCTTGAAGCCAAGTGCAATTTGTCCATTAGGTTTCAAACTTGGGTGGCCAGGGTCACCTTTGCTTCTTCTCCCTGTTTGAGAGAGAGTGTCATTCCATGCTTGTCTACCATTGTAGTTAACAAGCTGATAACTCTTTTTTGAGATTCATGGTCATGTGAGGAGCTTTGCCCCAGGGTGATAGCACCCGGAGCCCTCCTGGTTCAAGGGCTGTAGATGATTTGAGTGATGGAATGTGGAACTTGACAAGCTGATAGAATTCAGAGGAGATTGTGGGTGTAGAGCAGATGCTGCAGTGGGTTGAGACTTTGGGAGATGTTGGTTTGGGTGAGGGTATTCAGGACCTAAGATGAACGTGCATGTAGTGGACTGCAGAGGGTTGAATGCTAGCCCCCAAGATAGTTCCATGCCCCAGACTCTCTGTGGATGTGAGCATATTTGGAAAGGGGCCTTGCCAGAGGTAGTGAGATCCTGATTGTCCAGTGAGTCTCAGCTCCAGGGCAGCCATCTGTATGAGGGTCAGCAGAGGAGACATGAGGATGCAGGAGAGCACCCCAGGGGATGATGGAGGCAGAGACTGGAAAGATGAGCTGTGTGCCAAAGGACACAGAGCGGGAAGAGGCAGGCAGAGTTTCCCTGGTGCATTGGAGGACATGGTCCTGCCAACACCATGACTCTGGATTTATGGCCTCCAGAACCCAAAAAGAATAAATCTCTATTTCTTAAATTCTCCAAGTTCATGGTAATTTGACATAAGAGCTAAGAAAGCCAAGGCAGAGATGAACTGTAAGCCCCAGGGCTGTGGCTGGGCTGAGCACCCCACAGGCCAGCAAGCATCCTCAGCAGCTCTGCAAATCTGAGTTCCCAGTGGTGTTGCCAGATGACTGCAGGCCTCGGCCCCATGGAGGCTCTGTCCATGCATATGTGTCCAACCCTCTTTGAGGTGCATTGTTCCTGAGGGCATAAACAGAGCCCAAGTGGCTTGGGGCGCATCCTCAGTGACCCCAGGCCCAAGCAGGGAGCCTGACCATACCCTGTTCCTCTGTTATCACTGGTCTGCCATGTGGCAACACAGTACCTTTGTGTAAAGGATTAGGAAGTACACTGAGAAGTCCTCTTATTTGGAAGAGCCCTCTTACTATCACAGCAAACTGGCCTGCATGCTGCCCTCCGAAGGTCCGAGTGAAATCACTCCCCATTTTCCTGTGTTTAGCTACAGAAGGTCCAGTACCAATCTTTCATTCACTTTATAATGACTATTACCAGTAGAAGTAATCAACCCCAGATAAGACAGATGGCTAAAACAGCCAGGCAAGCAGACCTGGGGATAAACCCTGGCATTGGAACAAACACTGACTCGTGGATGGTGGCAAAACTGTTGGACAATTAATTCATCCCCCAGCATAAGATTACACAGAAAAAAATTCCATTAGGTCAAGAGCTTTCTTTAGCAAACATTTCCTTTTGAAACTTTCTTAAATTAGTGTGATTCTGTTGAAATGAGTGACCATAAATGCGGAGTAGGAGCCTCCTCTGGGGCAGAGGGTTGTGGCCCCTGTGGGGATAGGGTCTCGGCGGGCAGCATCTCTGCCTTAAGGCCCCCTCACGTGCAGCCCGACACGGGAGTGTGCGGACGGATGGGTGTCAGGACCTGGGGGATCCTAGGTGGGTGCTGAGGGAAGTCCCCTGTCCTGGTTATCAGATGTTCCTGGGGTTGTCAGAGCTATGCAACTAACTCTCTGTTCCTCTTTGAAGGAAGGAGCCACAGCCAGAGCCATCACCAAGGTCAGTCCCTCCTGCCTCCAGCTGCCTGGTGTGTGTGTGCCTGCCATCTGGCCTTGCTCCCTCTGTGTGTGCCCCATGTGTCAGGGGGCAAGGGCTGTCATGCAGGCCCTGTGTGCTTCCATGTGCCAGCGTGTCACTATGTGTCCCAGTCAGCCCAGGGTCACTGCTCCTTGCTCACAGCCTCCTGCGAGGGCTTTGGACTCATTCTGAAGCAGCTGAGGGCTTCTTGGGTGAGCCCCCACCTACCTACAAACCCAGCTCCCAGGGGAACCTGAGGCTAGGATTTCTGTTAGAGTATTTCCTGCAGGGATGCAGCCTGAATTTGCAGTTGGTCTGAGCCAATGCTTGTTAGCTAAAAACCCTGAGCAGGGGTCCCTCAGCCCTATCTGGGTCAGGCAAGGAGGAGAACCCAGAACTAGACATTGGCAGAGGGGCCGTCATGCCACACGCTTGGCGGAGGACCTTGCTTTGTTGACAAATAGGAAAGCATGAGGGTCTTGCTATCCTCCCGAGGGGGGTGGATGCCCTCTCCCCTCTCTCACCCTCAGTGGAAGTTCCAACCTCCCCAGAATGCTGCCTGTCTCCCAGGTGCTGTTTGTCCAGGCCAGTTAGGTGGAGCTCACTGCCAGCTCTGCTCTAGTAGAGAAGGAGGAACTGACCACTGTCTTCCTAGCACTGAAAAGACCACCAAAACTGGTTCACAAAGTCCAGCCCAAAGCTCCAGCCTGTGGGGCCTCCCTGCTGGGCTCTTGAGCCCACAGAGCCAGGGTACATCTCAGTGCTTCCTGCCTCCACATGTTACTGCATAACTCTGGCTGCACATACCTTGAGTCGGATGGACACCTTCCTGCCCCCTCCTGCCCTCCTGGACCTTAGAGTGACCCAGCTGGACATGCATTTAGGTGTGCTTGGGTGGGGGAAGGTACAATTGGGCCAAACTCCATCCTCTGTGATGGTTGGAGAAAGACATGATCCCCGTGCCACACACCCCACCCCGCCCCACCCCTCACCAATCTCACGAAAGGGGAGTGCATAGCAGGTAGTGCCTTGAATTGAAAAGATTGTCCCAGCTGAAAAGGACGACAAATGACCAGAAACCCTGGCTACTGAGAACACTAACTGGCTGGAAAGAGGTGGCCAGCTGTGCCACCTTGGCTAGTGTGGAACCTAGCATTGCCCTTGACAAAAGGGGATAAGAAAGCCAGTGCCCTGGCCCTGGATGGGGCAAAGTAGAAAAGGAGTACCCAGTCTCACTGCCCCAGGTCGGGGAGCTGTCCACCCTGGTTCCTCACTGCCACCCTCAGGTAGCCCTGGTCCAGCCCTCTCTCAGCACTGCCCCTAGGGATCCGAGGGCTGGGAGTTGATGGGACATGGGGGAGCTCCAGCCCCTTCAGCTGGTGGATGCTGAGGCTGTGATTCAAGCTGACCCTCAGCTCTGCCCCAGGTGGACAGAGATGGCCCCGGATGGAAACGAGTCTGGAGGCTTCTCTGCCCATCTCTGTGCTGCCCCCACCCACCTGGTGCTCTGTGTCCTTGCTGGGAGTGACTGGCCGCAGAGGCTCTTATGCTTGCTGCCATAGTGTGCGGTTCTCGTCTCAGCCTCTCTCTTTCTCTCTCTCCCTCTCCTGCCCCATCTGGAAAATCTTGCTGCCCCCAAGTGCTTTTAATCACTGTCACTGCCCTTCTCGGGCCCCTTTCTCGTCTGCTCTGTCTTTTGGGATGAGGTGCTGACCCTGAAAGCAGGACTCGAGGTGAGGACCACGGGAGCCCCCGGCTCTCCGGTATGTTCCGTGGCTCCCCTGCTCCACCCCCTGCCACTCCTTTGTCTCTTCCCTGAGTGTCGGTGGTCCCTGCCTGCCTGTGCCTCCACACCCTTACCTGAGGCCAATGCCCATCAACCTGGCCCTCCTCCTGGGATGCCTCATAACATGTTCAACTGGGGTGGCACTTTGGGGCTGTTACTGGGCAGGGATCCCAGGGCCCCAGCAGGGACACTCAGCTCCTGGTGGGTTTGAGGCACCTGATGGGCAACTGGGGACCATGGGAGTGAGGAGCAGTTTCTGTCAATGGAGAATCTCCTTCTCTGGGGTGCACACCTGCTGGCCAGGTAATGGAGGGTGGTATCTCTGACCTCTGCCTGGGGCAGTCACAGCCCCTCTTTAGTGCCTAGCACATAGGTGGGGAGCAGAGAATTGGCCTGCGATTTGGGTAACGAGTAGCAGGTGGGGCTGTCCCTAGGCTGCGTGGCGAGGGGCATGTTCTGTAAACTGCTAAGGGGAGTTTGGCTCCCCAGCATCCTGCTGCCTGCTGGGCTCAGTCCAGTGGGAGCCCTGTACCCCATCTGGCTAGGCCAGACTGATATTAATGGGTCTGGTGTGGACCCAGGGCTCTCCCTCAGCTGTCTCTGTGTGTCCTTTGTGCACACTCCTGGCCTCACTCAGGATCTAGGCATGTGGTGGAAAGCCCCTGACTGGTTGGGGCCCTCAGCTCCTGGCAATATCCTCATTACTGGGCTGGAGTCGTTCGGAGAGTGTGTGTCCGGGTCTGGATTGAGGGAGCCAGGGTGGGCAGGGGCTCAGGCCTGTGTTGCTGTGATCTGTCCTTTGTGGTTCCATCCCCTGTCCCATGTCCCATCGCTGCCTCCTGCTCCCGTGCCTGGAGGAGCCCCCAACCTCGGCTTTGTCCCTCTTGTCTGTGTGGATCTCCTCTTCTTCACAGGTGTGGAGGTGTCTGCATGTTTCAGTGCCCACCTGTCCTGCCTGGCCTTGGCCAGTGTCTGGACATCTCTGTACCCCCATGGGCTCTGGACCCCATGGACTTGCCTGTAGCTTGTGCCTGAGGCTTGAGGTCTGTGGCATTCTCAGAGGGGATAAAGCTTTACTTGACTAATGGGGTCAGGGAAAACCCAGAGCCAGCCTCAAACCCAAAGAGAATGAACAGTGTCATGTTGGGTCCTCGACATCCTGCCAGGCAGGGAGTGTTCAGGGAGAGCCTTGTCAGCAGCGCCCCCACCCAGCTCTGATCAGGCTCTCAGGCCATGTTGTCTCTTATAAAATGTCAGCACTGTGATATTCATTAAAATGGACAGTTAGAGGGTCAACCCTGGGTCTCAGTGCCCCGTGTGGCCGGCAGCTACCCTGCCAGACTGTGCAGGTATAGACATGTCCCCATGGCAGAGCTGGGCCTTAGTCCAGGGAGGGTGCTTCTTGGAAGAGCTGGATCCAAACTAGGGTTCTTCAAAGTTCTGGGAGCCAGCACCTTCCAGGCAGCAGCCCTGTGTTTGGGCTTGGGTACTACAGTAGGGAGGGGGCATGATGAAGTGCTGGGACCAGGTCACCAGGAGCTTTGCTACATGCGTCCAACCTCAGCCCACAACCTCAGAACGACTAGGAACCTGAAACTGCCTGCTTTTTTGGAAGCCAAGCCCCTCGGGAAACTAAGGCAGAAACCCATGGGTGCACAGGGTCTTCCTTGGGGAGAGGCCAAGGCTGCTGCCCCCTGGGCATCAGGGCACTCTGTGAGAAGACTCCCAGTTAGAATTAGTGTGTCCTTTGTGACTGTTAGAAAGATGCTTGTGTGGACAGCATATAGCAGGGACCGTTGGTTGGTGTTCAGATAAGTGGGGAAGGAAAACAGACGTGAACACTGTCCCCAGAAACTGTTTGCTTTTGATTTGAGACCATCGTACACGTTGGGTTCCTTAGGTGCAAAGTTTAAGAAGTACTGTCTTTAGGCACTACTTGCAAGGCGGGGCAGGGAGAGGGAGAAGGGATTTTTGTAATTGTTCATTATTTTCATTTTGCACTTTAAAATGTGCATATTCTAGTGAAGAAATGAGCCTTAAGGGTTTGTGGGATTCTTGGGAAAGTTTGAAGTTGACAGGGGCCTTTTCTAAAGCCCCTGCATGGAGCTCTTCTTGCTAAGGCCTCCATGCCAAGGTGGACTAGGTAAAGTCCTTTTAAATCCAGGTGTCCCCTTCTCTTGAGCTTCTTCTCCAGGTAGGGGCAGCTACTGCCTCCTGGGTAAACTGAGGCCCAATTCCGACCGGGCCACAGGCTGGCATGGCGAAACCTCGCTGATTGGTTTGCAAAGCTAAACCACACATTTTTTTCTCTAACGTGCGCATGCTTCGCAGCGTTAAGTCCTGGATGGTGTCCATCCACAACTAGCCTTTTGCAAAGTCTTATCTCATGTATTAATTTTTTTTGTTGGCATGAGTACAGCAAAAAAAATACATCGTTTAAGACATGAACCCAAACTCTGGCTTTGGAAGGAAAAGGTATTTTTGGAGGAAAAACCCAGGGATTCTTTTTCTCCAAAAATAGGGGACTGTTTTCTTTTCCAGGCTGTGGAAGACTTTCGCACACTCCTTCTCGCTGTCCCTGCTCAGATGCAAACTCTGCAGCTGGGGACGAGCCAGCACTCCCTGGGGTTGTGGTGCCTCAGTGTACCTGCTCTCTGGTCGGGTCCTGTTGCCACCCCCGGGACTAACTGTGCTCTCCTCATTTCCAGTAAAGGCAGACCGTGCCGAGGGTGCCTGTGTGGATGCTGCCCCGGACACTCTAGGTACCACGCAATGCTCGCACGGACTGACCGCGCTGCACGCCCCTGCCCGCCCTGCTTATTAGAGGTTGGGACGAGCCACGGTGGTTCCCCACCCAGCTCTGACTCCCCTGACGCAGAGCGCAGGGTGGAGCTGGGAGCCTGGCCTCTTTCCTCCACACCAGGCCCAACCCTGCCCTGCCCTGCCCTGCCGGAACAGGGGCTGGCTGGCCAGGGTCACTGCTCTGGACACAACGCAGTGCCCTTCAGGGAGAGTTTCCCCTGGAGCTGGTCAGTCTGGCACCTCTACTAGGCATGGAGGACCAATCCTTAGCCAGCTCCTCGCCGAGGGAGGTAGCTTGCTGTATTCTGGGCTCTTCAGACCCCCCAGAGCCCAAGGCCATGGCTGCCCCTTCTGACTTGCAGGCCTGGTTTAGGGCATACTGGAAACAGGAAGGTGGAAAAGCCCCTACCCTTTGCACCTTGACCATACCTTTCCTGTCCCTATTCCCTGTCTGCTGTCCGTATGTGAAGGCGTCTGTCCTCCTGCTTGCTCTGGGGCCCCTGCCTCCTGGTCTCCCCATCCTGCCCGTCCCCCTCCTGGCTGGTGCAGCCCAGCCACGTGCAGGTAGCTGCAGTGCCCACCTGCGAGAACCCCCATCGTGTGCATGTGGCCGGTCAGCACCAAGCAGCATGCTTGTGCATCTGCACCTGTGCATGCTTTGGATCCTTCTCCACTGGGAGAGGGGCTTGCAGGGTCCCCTCTCCCTTGCCCCATGGGCCCTTGGTTCCCTATGTATCCTGTTTGTGGGCACTTGCTGGGAGGCTGTTGCAATCCCAGAAAGGGATGTGGGCATTTGGGCTGCCCCAGGAGGAAGCCTGCTAGGACCCTGGCTGAAGCTGCCCTGCTTGCCCAGATCTGTGTCCAGGGTGCTTCTGGCCACAAGCTGGACTCGGGAGCAGGGGCTTGGGTCAGGCTGCTTAGGGACCAGAGGGTTTGGAAGTGTGGGGCCGCAGGAGCCTTGCAAGCTCCGCTCTGGCCTGCCGTGTGCATTCCCATGGAGCATCTCCTTGCTCTACCTGGGCATCTTCAGTTCCAATATGGGCACTTTTCTGTGGATGCTGGCTCCCTGCATCGCTGAGCGGGGCCCCTGCGTGCTGACTGGGATGAGGGCCATCTCACGGTTGATTCCCTTGGAGTTTCACCCCAGGGAAGATGGCAGGTGAGGAGAGCTGGGGCTTGCTTGCTCTCTCAGGTTGTTTCTGAGTTGACTTCTGCCCCTGTAAACACCGCAGCACCATATCTCTTGTACACAGGGTAGGTCTGACCATAGGTTCTCACTGGCAAGGCAGAGGAAGTCCTTGAGAGCCCCCTTTTCATTTGCTTTGTCCTTTGCTTGGGAGGTGAGGTGAAGGGGAGCTCCCAAGACTCCATGCTGCCATCCAGGCCTCAGGCGAGGAAGGCTGGGTGAACCAGAGGGTTCTGTGAGCGTCGCACCACAGTCTCCTCCTCCAGCAAGGTCTCCGTGGAGGCTTTGGGTGGGTGCAGGGTCAAGAGCTGGGGACAGCAGAGATGAGACAGGCAGGAAGCTCCTTCCTGGAGGTTCCATCTCTTCCATGACCTGGCAGCCTTGTGTGGGGCTGTGGTCCCTTAGGGATGCTTCTCCTGGTGGCCGAGGAGGAAGTCACCACCAGGAAGTAGAATTGGTTGACATTGGGGCTTCTCACCTGGAGGGGCCTGCAGAATTCCCATTCTGCCTCTTCCTGGCCAAGTGTGACCTGGTGGCCTGGTGGGTACCTCACACCACACTGTCCATTGCTGCTCCAGCCTGCCTTGGAGCAGGAAACTGGTAGGGCTCTGATGCTTGATGCTCATGCTTCCTGACTGCAAGCTGTCAGCTTTGTGACTCCTGTGAACCCAGGGAAGAGGTGGCCCTGTGATTGGGTTTCAGCCAGTCAACTTTACCATACCACTCAGCGTTTCCTTAGCTGTGGCCAAAAGCGAAGGTTGGAGGAAAAAACAGAAGATGAGTGATGTTGAAGAGGGATTCCTAGTACCTGGCCTGCTCCCCTGGAAGGGCCCACCAGGGGAAAGAAGAACATTCTGAAAGCCAGAGTCCCCCTAAGCTGGACAAGTCTGGGTGCCCAGGTGGCCCTGGGTACGCCTTTAGCATGGTGTGGCCATTTGTGTGGCCCCAGTGCTCAGTTCTCCTAGCTGGATCAGCTGGGACTCTGTTGAGACAGGGACCAGAAGTCCATGTGGATTCTAGGTGTTCTTGACCCCTACCTGCCTGTGTTGGCTTCAGTGGGGTGCAGAGGTACAAACTGGGGGTCAGTGCCCCAAGACAGAAGATGCCACTGGCTCCTGATGGTCACAGGACACAGGACATCCTACTGCCACACTCTCCCTGATTGGGCTCCTTGCTCCCAGCCTGGGTTTCTGCCTCTTTCTTCCTCTTCTTCAGAGACCCGAGCAGGCATAGATGGTCTCCAAAGTTGCCTGCTGCCAAGGGCATTGGCCCTGTCCATGGGGTGGATGGACAAGGTGCTGTGGCTGCCTCTTCTCCTTGGCTGTCACTTCTGTGCTGTCTGCTGGACGTCTTTCTCTCCAGCTTGGGGTTAGGGTAGCACCATGGTAAAGACATGGAGGTGGGGTATGGATATCAGTGAGTGGTGCTAGGCATTAGAACTTCCTCTCAGAGGCATCTTTGAGATCCCTCAGGCCTCCCTGACCCTGGGGTTTTCGTGGGCTCTGCCTGGAAGCCATCCTGTAAGTCCCGTGGCTCTCATGTGGCTAGCACAAGCAGATTTCCAATTCACAAGAGATCTGCTCTGAGGGTGGTGGTGGAGTCACCTGTGGGAGCATTGGGTGGCCAGCCTGGGCCCAGGGACTGATGCTTCCCAAACTAGGGGGTGGGGGCCATGTCTGCCTGCAGCAGCCCAGCCAGAGACCATCCATTTCTTCTGCTTGGCGAACTCAGGGGTCAGACCCGTCTTCATGGATACTAAGAAACGGGGACAAGGGAGGCCTGAGGACTTTGAAGAGTTTTGAAGCTGAAGCCTGGTGGAAAGAGCATTGTGGGATCGGCCACCATCCTCCCCAGTGCTATAGCCACCACCTCCCACCCTGGGCTTGGGACATGAGACCTGCGACTGCTGAGGCCTGACCGTGGAGACACCTGTCCCTACTATTCTTATAAAAGCAGTGATGTTTAGTGGTCCAGATGAGTCCTGGCAGGGTGGATGGGCAAGTGCTGGGCAGAAGCCACACACAGGAGGCCAGGCAGCCCCTAGGGCCCATCAGAAAGGCCAGTGTGTGGCCAGACAAGTGCTGGCTGTAGCCCTGGACTCCCCTGACCCTGGGGCAGATGGAGAGATTGGGAAGGGGGACACCACTCCTGGGGGCAGTTGGAAGGGTGGTCAGGGAAAGCTACTGGCCAGGCCAGTGCAGACAGAAGGTTCAGGAAAGAGCCCCAGCCTGGGGCATCTGGGGACACAGACTTAAGGGGCTGGAGGGACAGTGGTGATGGCTGAGTGATCGAGGTGTCCACGACCATAACCTCTTCTGGCCCGGCCAAGCTCCCCTACTGCCCTGTCCTTCACCCCCCGTAGCTGCTCGAGCCCTGTGGTTGGTTGTTCTTTGGACCTGCGTCTCCCTCCTGTCTTGTGGGGCCGCACTGGCAGCGAGCAGAAACGGCCTGTGTTCTTTCCAGAGTGACCTCTCTCGCTATTTTTCTGTGTGTGTGTGTATGTCTGTCTGTCTGCCTGTTGGTTCTCATGGGAGCAGTCAGAAGGTCAGTTTGAAAGATCGTGTCTTCTCCAGCCCCCGAGGCGTGGCTGCCAAGGGGAAGGGGTCTCCCCAGGCCCAAACAGTGCGGAGGTCACCCAGTGCTGACCAGAGCCTCGAGGATAGCCCAAGCAAGGTGCCCAAAAGCTGGAGCTTCGGGGATCGCAGCCGGGCCCGCCAGGCCTTCCGCATCAAGGGTGCTGCATCGCGGCAGAACTCAGAAGGTGGGTCTGGCACAGCATTGCTCTCCCTGAGTCTGGGTGACTGCCGGGGGAAGAACACTGACTCTCTGCTACCGGGCATCAGCGGAGCCTCTTGGTGCTGGGGGGGCCTCTGTCCTTTCTCTTTTTTTTTTGAGGCAAAATTCACATCAGATGACATCTCATACATCCACAGTGTTTGCAGCCATGATCCCTGCCCAGGTGGGGAACATTTTCATCATCCAGAAAGGAAGCCCCAAGCCCGTTATCAGTCACCCCGTTTCCCTCCCTCAGCCCCAGCCACCACCATCTGCTTTCTGTCTCTGCTTCCTCTTGTGTGCATTTCATGCGAGGGAAATTACTCAATGCCAGCCTCTCTCGCTGAGTTTTGTCAGGTTCCTCCATGTTTTGGGTGTCAAGAGTTTCATTCCTCCTTTGGCTGAACGGTGTTCTGTGTATGGATGGACCCCATGAAGTCATCCACTCATCTGTTGAGCAGGTGCCCTTTCAAACCCTCACATGAGTCACTCCCTGCAGGAAGGCAGAGCTGGGGGGTCTCTGGGTAGCAGGACACCTGAGGGACACTCTGTCTAGGGATTGTGACCTGTAGGCCCAAGGCCTGTGTGTGACTGATTCACCCACAGTCTGCATTCCCTTCTACCCAGAAGCAAGTCTCCCCGGGGAGGACATTGTTGAGGACAACAAGAGCTACAACTGCGAGTTTGTGACTGAGGATCTGACTCCCGGCCTCAAAGTCAGCATCAGAGCCGTGTGGTGAGGGCCCCCTCTCGGCCTTGGATGGGGGTGAGGAAGGGCCTCCTTGACGCTGTCTGCTGCTGGTCCTCATGGGGCCAGGCAGAGCAGGCAGGGGGCTGGGTCCACTGGGAGAGGAAAGGTCATAGGCAGGCCTGGGGTGCTGGCTGAGGGAGTCTCACATCTGACCCCTTTCAGCCCTCGTGCCTGTGACTCATGCCTCATGTTACCTTGTGCCTGAATTTGCAGGGGGCCTTTGAGGTGCCCACTGGGCACAGGGACCTCTGCTGGTCTGGGTGTAGTGGGGGCCCAAGATGAGGAGGCTGTGGACAGCCAGGAGCTGCCCTGCACTAGAGTCTACCCATGAGGCCAGGACTGAGAGTGGCCAGTGTGTGGGGCAGGTGGGAGGTCCAGATGAGAGGACCAGTCATGCAGTGGACATTACTTCCCTAGGGGCTGTGGTCTCAGAGATGCTGGGAGGGTGGCAAGCAGGTGGACACGGGGTCTGGCCTGGCAGGACAGCCTCTACCTGGAGCTCACAGCCCAACCTACCTGCAGTGTCATGCGGTTCCTGGTGTCCAAGAGGAAGTTCAAAGAGAGTCTGCGGCCGTACGACGTGATGGATGTAATCGAGCAGTATTCGGCTGGACACCTGGACATGCTGTCCCGAATCAAGAGCCTGCAGTCCAGGCAAGAGCCCTGGGCAGGGCAGGGCAGGGCCCTCTGGCCACGGCCTAGGTGCACAAGGCATGGCACCCTAGGGCTGGCGTGGGAGGTGTACAGAATACGGCCAGTGCTCAGCCCACCACGTTGGCTTCTCATTGCTTTTTGCCACGTCCTCATGCAGTGTGTCTGTTTTGGTTTTTTTAAACATTTCTCTTGTCTCTTCATTCTCTCCCCTACCCACCTGCCCTATGGTGGGCAAGTGTGTGTGTGCACTCGCGCTCACATGCATATTTGTGTGCACAAGCATGTGTGTGAAAGTGCACGTGTGGGTCTCTGGATGTGTACACACGTGTATGTGGAAGTGCATGTATGTGTGCACATGTGTGTCCACGCATGTGTGTATGACATGTGCGGGTGTGTGCCTGTGTGGTGTGCCATGTGTGTATGCGTGAAGTGATACACACACATGTATATGCATTCATGTGCACACGTGTGTTGGGTAGGGAGTATTTTACGGAGAGCTGGAACTGTAGGACTTCTGTGGGCCCTGTCAGGCAGCAGTCATGATACCGACACCTCTTCTTCCAGAGCACAGAGTCCTCCTCCTTACGGGGGGGAGGCTCCCACTTCTTGTTCAGCAGGCTGAGGCAGAATGTGTGTTTGAGCTTGGCAGTAGGCGGGCATCTGTGGCTTGTCTGTGTGTGAGAATTGGCTTGTTCCACGAATCACAAATAACTTTCATCATCACGCAAATGAGGGCCTGAGCTCATTCACACAGACAGTGCATCCTCCATGTGTAGGCGTGTATGGGCATGTGTACACACCATGTCGAGACCATGTGTCAGCCTGGCACCCTTACATGTGCTCACAGGTGTACACCCTCAGCCACATATGACATACACACATACATGTCTATGCTGCCTGCAGGATACCCTCCTAAAGTGTGTCACACACTCCTGCCATCAGGGCTCCTGCCCGGGGCCCTTGGTGAGGCTGTGGCAGCTTCCCAGCCTAGAGGTAGAGCTTGGGTCTGATTCCATCAGAGGGTCTGGACAGGGAGGGAAGCCTGGGAGCCATAGCCAGAAGTCATGGGGAGCTACTCCCGCACCTCTGTGCCTGCCCATGGGGTTGCCATGGGGGCCAAGGAAGGGTCGCTAGGCCTTAAGCTGATCCCACAGCTGGGGCCAGGTCTGTGCCCCCTCCCCCAGGCTCAGACTGGGGCCTCCTGTTGGCCTCTCCAGAGCGGTGGCTGGATTTGTGCTACGAGTAGGTGAGTGAGAATTCCTGGAGCCCTGTGCCGTGTCCCCACAGCTCTCTCTGCACAGCTGTTTCTGCTTGGCAGACCCTTTCATCCTACATTTCTCCTGTCCCTTCCCTTTCTGTCTGGAAAACAGAAAAAACAGACCAGCCAGCTGAGGGGTCCAGCCTGCTCCTGGCCTCTGACCCTGAGTTTCTGTTGCCCCATAGCTAGGGCCTTTCTGTGATTTTACTCCCAGCCATCAGTCCATTCCATGCACCTGCATGCTTCTGTGACCAGCCACCAGAGGCTCAGGTTGCCCAGGGGCCCAACTTGCAAGTCCAGCACTTTGCTGGCAGTGTTGGCCGATGCCCTGTTTTGAGCGGCATGCTTCTAGAAGAATCACTGTTGCTAAGTTGTTCCTGTTTCTGTGTGTTTCCAGCGACTCCTCAAGTTGCTTTATGATGCATTTTGCTGGTGTCTCTTTTCCTGTTTATGCTGCCAGGATAGATATGATTGTGGGCCCCCCACCCCCTTCAACTCCCCGGCACAAGAAGTACCCCACCAAAGGACCCACGGCCCCTCCGAGAGAGTCACCCCAGTACTCACCTAGGTTAGGACACAGCACCTCTTCCTGACCTGTCTTTGTGAAATGGCTAGACCCTTCACTCCAGGCCACATGACGGCAGCAGCTCACACTGTTCTCTCCATGGGATGGGGACATTTAGATTTTCTCTCTTCTGAAAAAAGCATATTAGGAAGGCTGCTTCTGACCAGCACTGGGTGGGCAGTGCCAGGCCCCCAGGACATCTGAGGTGCCATAAGTCCTCCCATCAGCTGGGTCCACTTTCCTGTGGACATCTTTGTGACATCTACCAGAGCAGGGTGGTTTCTGGGCAGAAGCAGAGGGCATTAATAGTTGAGACCCTCACCCAAGTCAAGCCAAAGCCACTGTGACCTCCTGGGTACTGACTCAGGCCCCTCACACCTGCCCACTGCTGGGGTGCCCTCCACATGCCTGGCCCCGACTTGAGGGCTGCATGGATATGAGCAGGTGGGACCACTTCCCTGTGGCTCTTTCCTTAGGCCTGCGATGCAGACAGCAGCAGCACCTGCCTCCTAAGCTGTCGTGAGGAATAAATGGCTGGGTGCCTGGCCCCTAGAAGGATTTGTGGGTGCTGCTGTTACCTCATGCTACCGTTCTCATTATTAGTGTCATTGATAAAGAAAGTGGCAGGGATCCGCTAGATGATGGGCTAGTGGGGCTCGGTACAGTCAGGCGGCAAAGGAGGCTCTTGCATGGTTCAGACACCAAAGCCTTCTGGCTTCCCTGGGACCACTCAGACCGTAGCCCCGCTCTCTGTGAGTCTGATTGGCCAGGAAGAGGAAAGCCCAGGGGCAGGGAAAGCAGGCAGACACTGTCCTACCTGGCAGCCTGGGAGCAGAGGGACTCTGGGCGGCTCAGGATGTCAGAGCTGATGGAACCTGGGCCAGCCAGCAGGTGCAACATCTGCCCACTCCCTTGGGACCAGCAGGAGTCAATGTGCTGGACACCTTAACCCAGCAGGCTCTTCCCATGAGAGAGGGTTCCCAGGGGAGTGGACAGGGCTGTGTTTGCTGCTTTCTAAGCAAGGGAGGCCCCCAAACCATCTGCTGTGTCCACCATTCTGCTCTACCCTGAGACCAAAGCCTTGTCCCCTGGACATTGCTGTAGGGCATGGTGGCCGGGCATCCAAGCCACGAGCTGGGGTGGCCCTGCAACACTTTAAGTCACCTTAGCTGTCCCCTCTTGCTGCAACTAGGGAACATGCAGATTCACATGGGGAAGGATCTAAAAGGGTAGTCTGAGCACTCAGTCTCAAGGGACATGGAGCATGGGGCATTGAGTCTGATTCCCCAGCTCCAGCCAGGGGGAGGAGGCAGCACAGGGTCCTCAGAGGACCCTCACCTGGCTGCCCCAGCAGCAGGCAGCTTTAGACTGAACCTTGGACCTAGGCTTCTGTTGGAACCCACCAGACAGGCAGCCCGTCATGTGGCAGGGGTGAAGGGGCTGCGCGTCTGTGCCTGGACTGTGTGGGCATTGGAGCACTAGGAAGCCCGTCCCCTCGCCATTGCCACTGGCGTCTGCTTGGAGCCAGAGGGTCCTCTCCTGCCGTCCCTGCCACCCCTGTGCATGCACCCAGCATGAAGCCTAGTGGAGCATGAGGAGGCTGCATCTGGTTAACACAAGCCTGAACCCTCTTCTGAGTCACTGACAGAGTCACCCACCATCCCACAGAGGAAGGCAGGCCCGCCCTGCTGGCAGATGGCAGAGTGAGGTTGTTCAGTCCACGTGGGCCTGGAAGGGTGCATCTTGTGCACTGGGCTGCATCTCAGAGAGCGAGACTGGGGTCTGCAGCTGTGTGGCTCCGCCTCGGTTGGCCCTGCTCAGCCACATCCTCTGTGGAGCTACCGCTTGTCCAGTGTTGGCTTGTAGACTTAGTGTATGGCCCTTGTTCCTGAATGGTGTCTCCACAGCTGCAGTTTTCAGCCCACACCCACTCCTGCAGCCCCACCAGCCGTGGGCATGGCCCTTCCTTTCCACAGGATCTGCCAGGGGTTTGTTGATGCCACGCCACACAGACCGGAGCTCCTGAGGGGTGAAACTGGCCCCTTCTTGTTGGCATTAGTGACTTATGACCTTGATAGAGATCTGTGCAACTGAATTCTGCAGCCTGCACACACATACTCGCAAGGATGTAAGCACACGTGCAGTGTATTCTCAAAGGCACACACACCGGTGTGCACACCCATGCACACATGTACATGCATAGACCCTCTGGTTGGCAGTGCTCGTCTCTCCTCTGGTTGTGCGTTGGCACTTTTCTGTGTAGCTCTTGTCCCTCCTTCCTCGTCCTGGTGCATGGAGCCTCAATTCTCACCACCCCCGCTTCTGTTGTCCTCGCTGCAGACATTAACTCTATTCCTGTCACATCTATTGGGGCTGAGGGCCTCCGTGGCACATTACATAGGAGTAAAGTTTGCGGGGGGAGGTGTATGGCTTCCAGAGCAAGGGCACAGCCCTTGTGTGCCAACCCCTTGGCTGGGTGCCCAGCAGTCATCACTGACCCCCTGGCCTTGGTTTGCTATGGGTCCAGCATACCATAGAGTGGGAGTGGGTTAGACAAGGGGAGGAGCTGATGAGCACCCCTTTGGTGGAGCTGGGGGCTGACCCAGGTGGAAGTAACTTACTTTACTCCTCACTAATGTGCCAGATCCCAGGGAGGGAATGGAACAAATAGGACCCAGGACCAGCGGGTGTCAGAAGGCAGCGTGAGATCACGAGGACCCGTGTCTATCTGTCCTGGCGCCTGCTGCCCCCCTGGTCGGCTCTGGATGGGATGTAGAGCCCAGATCTGGGGGGCTGTGGGCTGGCCCAGGAGGAAGGGGCCAGGGCCTGGTCACACCCCCCTGAACTCATGCTTGGGGACCGGGTCTCTGTTCCCGGTAGAGTGGACCAGATCGTGGGGCGGGGCCCAGCAATAACAGACAAGGACCGGACCAAGGGCCCAGCAGAGGCGGAGCTGCCTGAGGACCCCAGCATGATGGGACGGCTCGGGAAGGTGGAGAAGCAGGTGGGAGAGGCTCAGAAGGGGCCTGCAGGCTTGGGGCTGGGGGTTAGGCATTGTGGGAGGGAAGGGCACAGCATGGGCTGCTTTGTGTTTGACGCCACTGGGAGCTCATCCCACTCTGGCGCTTTTCGTTCTGACAGCCATGACCAGAGGTAGGAAGTGTGCAGTTTGTGTTTCTCTCTGTGTCCTGGGAAGGGGGTGTCTGTGAGGCATGAAGGCATTTAAGGATCCCTTGGGGAAAGTAATTTTCTGTGGAACTTGCCAGAAGTCACGCCTGGTTGGCCTTCCTACCCCGTGTTCTCCTTGTCTGACATCCATTTCCACTTTCCTGGGAGTGTATCCTCAGAAACCGTCATACATGACCTTTGTCTTGGAGACTGTTCCTGGAAGCTGGCCTGCACTCAGGCCACACACTGACCAGTGGGATCAAATGCTGAGATGCCCAGAGTCTGGGAGGGAGGAGAGGCAGCTCCCTGGTGTGGCTGGGTCCCCTTTCCCCTGGAGTAACCCAAATCTCCCTCTCCCTTGATCCATCTGTGTGCATGGCTGGGCCATGCCTCTTGCCCTGGTCCCCAGCTAGAAAGCTGCTGGCCAGCATCTCCCCCATCCTTCTGGGTTCCGTGGGTCTTTTGATGGGAGTTCCCCTCCCCAGAAGCCTGGCCCAACAGCCGCCCTACTGCAGGTCTTGTCCATGGAAAAGAAGCTGGACTTCCTGGTGAGCATCTACACCCAGCGCATGGGCATCCCCCCGGCAGAAACAGAGGCCTATTTTGGGGCCAAGGAGCCAGAGCCGGCACCACCCTACCACAGTCCTGAGGACAGCCGTGAGCACGCAGACAAGCATGGCTGCATAATCAAGATCGTCCGCTCCACCAGCTCCACCGGCCAGAGGAACTACGCTGCACCCCCGGCCATGCCCCCTACCCAGTGTCCCCCATCCACCTCATGGCAGCAGCAGAGCCATCAGCGCCACGGCACCTCCCCTGTGGGGGAGCACAGCTCGCTGGTGCGCATCCCACCTCCCCCGACACATGAGCGGTCGCTGTCTGCCTACAGCGGGGGCAATCGGGCCAGCACCGAGTTCCTGAGGCTGGAGGATGCCCAGGCCTGCAGGCCTCACGAGGGCGCTTTGCGGGACAGTGACACGTCCATTTCCATCCCGTCCGTGGACCATGAGGAGCTGGAGCGCTCCTTCAGTGGTTTCAGCATCTCCCACTCCAAGGAGAGCCTGGATGCCCTCAGCAGCTGCTACGCAGCTGTGGCGCCATGTGCCAAAGTCAGGCCCTACATTGCGGAGGGCGAGTCTGACACAGACTCGGACCTCTGCACGCCCTGCGGGCCCCCACCGCGCTCTGCCACGGGCGAGGGCCCCTTTGGAGATGTGGGGTGGGCTGGGCCCAGGAAGTGAGGCCACACTGGGCCACTGGACTCCTACGCCATGTCCCAGTCCACCTCCTAGTTGGAGGCTGGAAGTCCTCTGGGACCTTTTTGTAGAGTGACACGGGCAGTGGGGACACCCGGGGGTTCCAGCTCTCAGGACCCATGTGGGGTGGTGGACAGGCAGGGTTCCTTGGCCCGTGTGGTGACATTTTACAGAAGTTCCTTTCCAACCAGTGGCTGGAGGCTGGGGCTGGACTCTGGTCATCCCAGGAAGGCCCTGTGGTAGCAAGGCCAGCCCTGTCCAGTCTGCTCGGGGACAGACCACCACCCTGCGTGTGTGGGGGGTGGAGTGATGATGGGCATGGCCAGTGGAAGCATGGGCTGGGAGCATGCCCTGGGGAGGTGGAGGTGAGGGCCAGTCTAGCCCCTGCAGATGGCCAGCCTTGGGGCTTGGCAGGGTTTCCCAAGAGGGTATGGCAGGCCTTGGATGTGACCACCCTCACCCCTGGCCGTGTGTCCCTTGGTTTCTGACTCCCCCAGTGAGGTGTCACCCAGCCCTCAGTCTGTCTATATGCGTGGTTGGGCAATGTCCCGGCCCCTGGGTGCCCAGCTAGAGAGCTGCTGGCCAGCATCTTCCCTCAGCTTCCGGGTTCAGTGGGTCTTTCAGTAGAAGCCTCTCCAAGCACAGGACCTCTTCCTGGAACTGAGGAAGTGGTGAGGCCCCAGGGACCAAACTGGAGCCGAGAGTGGCCCTTTGACCCTCCTGGTCTCAGTCTCTCACAGCCTCTTCCTTGGGGAAACTGGCCGCCCCAGCCCTGGGCTTTCCTGGGGTGCATCAGAGCCATCAGTACCCCAGCCCAAGAGGTCTAGGGGTTGGCACCCTGTGGACTCTCCTCTCTCCTGGTGGGGTGCCAGTCTCCAGGGTATGGCCAACAGTTGGGGAGATTCACTTGGTGAGCAGATCATTCTTGTGCTTAGCCAGGGCCCACCTTGCCCACTCCCACCCTGATAGACCCAGGCAGGGCTGGACAACACTGTCACCATCTCTTCAAATGGCTGGCTCATCCCCCACTTAAAATAGCTGCTGTGCTTGGCAGAGAGTCCTTTCCAAGGGACCGCTCGTGTTTTACTCACTGGTCCCTTGGCTGTGGCTTCTTGGTGTTTGGGGAGCTGGAGACACTTGACCCCTACTTTGACCCTGGTAAGCTGGGACCTCCATCCCTCTTGTGCTGGGTACTTTGGCCCACCAAGCTGCCAGCTTTGGAGGGGCAGGAGCCCAGCACCAAGAGACAGAGTGGAGTCCCCAGATCTGGTCCTTTAGCACCTGGCCCAGAGGTGTTTGGTATTGGGTGACAGTACTGTGTTTGGGGGAGGGGAAAGGCTCTGCAATGGTGTGTGTTCAAGGGCTGGGGTGGTTGGCTATAGGCACTCCCAGAATGTGAATCCAGGAAGAGCCATAGGCCCATTTCTCATGCCCATGTTTGAAGTCCATTTTGACCAGGACCAGTGGTGGGCTGAGGGCCTCGTGGTCAGCAGAAGACCCATCTTGCCCACTGGGAAGAAATTTGACTTGGCTTGGCTATTGGGATCTCAGGCATGTGAGGAGCTTTGGGGAGCTGTGTCTGCCATCAGTGGTGTGTGGTCGCTGCTATAGCCTCTGCACCTGCCCAGGATTCCACCCTGAGGCACCTCCATCAGCCTGCTGGCCTGGAGCCATTGACGGTTCACCGTGAGTACCTCTGGTTCTCAAGGCCATGTTTGTTTTGGACAAGATATGTGATGTGGGCAGGATGAGTGGTCACCCCTTCACCAGCCCCTCTGGGCCAGGTGGAGCTGGTATCTGAGTCCTCTTCATCCTCTTGGTGGGATAGGGAGGCTTCAGCTGGGAGCACAAGTAGGGGGACAAGTGTGCCTTCCTATGACACACCACCAGCCCCAGACTACTTCTCCATGAGGCCCGGCCACTGTCAGGGGCTAGAGAGGGGGACCCTTTGCTCCCAGAACTCGTGTCCCATGTGCTCCACAATGCTGTGTGTGTCCTGCAGACATGTAGCCTCCAGTGCTGTTCCCAGTGCTGCTGAGGCAGTGAGCGCCTGGGGTGCCCTAGGCTGAGGTTCTGCAGGGTGAGATGGTGGACAAGTGGATTCCCCTCAAACCCTGACTTTCCAGTAGGATAGCAGGAGGCCTTTCTTAAGTTACAGGCAGAGAGAGTGAGGCTAGACCACTGGCCTGCTCTGCATCAGAAAGGAACATTGATGAGACCCCTTGGAAGAGGAAGGTGCATGTCTCAGTGGAGTGCTTGGGGCCTGTTCTAGGAGATGACAGTAGAAGCTCCCTCTCCAGGCTTCCCCAGACCCAGGCCTGAGCTTACTGCCCCTGCTCCGCCCCCCCCCCAAGAAGCATAACAGGGAGTCTGGAGGCCCCTCTGAGAGGTTTGTCACTTTCTTGGGTTAGAATGAGTGACGAAATCTGTAGGAAGACCAGGGGCTACCCCATGGCTAGTTTCCAGCACATTTGTTATGCATGCCCACAGACCACACATGCCAGGTGCACACTTTCATGATGTGCACACATGCCACACAAAAGCACACACATGGAAGGTACATGCTTTCACACATACATGTGTACGTACACACAAGGCAAAACCCACAACATGCATGCACACAAGCCCACACACCATATATCAGGTACACAGTTTTCACGCAGGTGCACACAAATGCATGTGTGCACAAAAATGGCAGGTACACAATTTCGCACCTGCATGCTCACACATGCACACACATGAGCAAATCACATGGCATGTGCATACTCACACAGACTCACACGTGCACATACACTGTGTTTCCCACTTGGGTCACCCTTTTTCTCTTTGGCTCTTCCTGATTTAAGCTGCTGGGGGCGGTGCTACAAGGAATTAAAAACTTATGCAGGTGGTTCAGAGTGTTGAACACTGGGTGAGGGTTCCATCTGTCCAGGATTCCTAGGTGACAGTGGCAACAGGGACACCTGAAGCCCATTCAGGGTCCTTCACTGCCCTTTCCCTCTACTGGCTGCAGGGCCATCCACTTGCTGAATGATGAGAGGCTGAGGTTGGGGCCAGGGAGGTCCCAATGTCCACTGAAGGTTCAGACATGTCCTTGCATTAGGTCAGCATAAAGTGCTGGCTAGCTCCTGGTGCCCTCCTGGTACACGTGGCTGGCCTCATCATCCCCAGGCCCTGCCCCAAGCAGGTGTCTGTTCACCACAGGCATTTTCTGGCTTAACAGCTCCCTTTCTGTCCCCTTAAATTATAGCCCCAGAGTCTCCCCCTGACTACATGGCTGTGACACCTAGAGGGTGAGGGCCCACATGTGTCTGGACAAGGTGGGTAGCAGAGGCCTGGGCCCTCCCCATGAGCTGCCCCTTAGTGACACTGTCTCCTTTCGTGGGGCCTTGCTTCAAACCCCTACTTGGAGGCTGGTGAGTAACCTGTAATTTGAGGACCTCTCTGGGGGGATCCCTCTAAGCTATGGGTCCAGTCATCCCAGGTCTCTCTGCAGAGGACAGTCCACGGCCAGGGCCACCCATATCTTTTTTTTCTTTTATTTATATGTGCATACAATGTTTGGGTCATTTCTCCCCCCCTTCCCCTCGCCCCCTCCCTTTCAGTGTCCTAGTTTAGGACTACCTTCTCTCCCATGGAGCTGGAGGCCCCAGTGGTCATGGATTCAGGACCTTGCTGGAGAGAAGGAGGAAGCACTGTCTTTTTCTGCCCTGGCTGGATTCAGCCCCACATTCAGGGGCCCTGTGAACAGCCCTGCCCTGTTCTTTGTGGAGATTTGGCCCTGAGATAGTTCCAGACTTTTCCCCAAAGGTGAAAGGAGCTGAGGGCAGAGGCCTTTTCTAAAACACTAGGGTGTGTCTCTGTCACCTCACCCCAGCTGTATATAGGGTTCGGAGTGGAGGCTGAGATGCCTCCCTGGATCTCATGTTGCAAGGTCAGCAGGAAAACACTTTAGCGTCCCTCTAAGATCACAGCTCCTTGAGACAAACATGGAAGGGACATTTTGCACAGCAATGCCTACCATGGAGGGGTGACTTGGTGGCATTGGGGTTCCAGCCCTCCAGGAGGGAGGGCTGGGTTCTGGGCAGGGACTCCATGCACAGCCCCCATGGGGCCCCCAGTGCACATGGCTTGGGATCAGATCCCCAGTGTGGTTGTCCACTGTCCTTGACCATGTAGAGGACAGACCAGCCCTCCAAACCCCCACACAGACCTTCCGGGCTACCTATTTGTACATGCAGGACATGGGGTGTGGGTAGAATTTTCAGACCAGGGTCACTGCTGGGGTGCCTGCGGGCTGTCCTAGGTTAGCTCTCCCAGATTAACTATCCCAGCTTCCTCCTGGGCCCCAATAGAGCTGAGGAGAAGAGGCAGCACAGAGAGCTACCTGAAGGAGAGGGTGTGATGGAGACAGGGTTCAGGGGAAAGACCCAGCTCTTTCTCCTTCCTAGGAGACTTGAGCCCTGGGCACACCCAGGGGTCCCTGCCATTTGCTCTGGAGTGAGCATGACTGGCAGGAGGCATGGCTTGCTGGACTTTGCTGTCTCATGAGGTGGGACTGATAGCAGGCCTTGAGAAGAGGCTGTGGGGAACAGGGTGGAGAGAAGGGAGGAGCTACCCAGGAGACCCTCCGAAGTAGAGTGTCTGGGGCTCAGACAGGACGTGAGTGAGCTCTGTCTTGGATGCTTGCCTTGGTGCCCCTGTCTAACTGAGGAAGCTGGGTCTGGTCTGTAGCCCACCCTGAGGTTCTCATGGTGTCTGACACTCTGTCGCAGGAGAAGGGGATTAGTCCCCAGGTCACCAAGGCCAGCCATCCCCGGGGCTCCCAAGCAGGAGCATTCGTCACTAAACATCGCACATCTAACTCGGATTGGGTTTTACAAAGTCGTTGCCTTAATGCATGTTGACAGAAATTCACCGAGGTCACCACATTTACCCCTGGCCTCTGCCAGGCACAGACATCCCGGACCCTGCTTCCAGGCCAGGTCACGAGGGTCCACAGATCCAGCTGGAGATGAGTGCCAGCAGGAGGGGCTGTCACCAGTTGTCACACATGGAGGGGCTCAAAGCTGGTCATCTCTTTGGACCCCGTCCATGTGCCTGGGATCGGCTCTGCATACCGTGCCCCCCTGCCCATTGCAGTCCTATCCCCTGGCCGTGATGGTGGCTGCAGCTTCCCCATCTGTGCAGTTGCCTTTGGCTGTCTTTGCACTTTTGTTCATGCTCCAAAGAATATTTCATAATGCCTTCGTACTGACTGCACCCTAACCATTTCGTATGTGCCCTTGGGCCGTAGCGACCCGGCCTTTTCCTTCCAGTGACGCGTTGCCACCTGCACACTTCGATCTCGACTGTGCACCGCCGTCTTCTAGGGATAGACGCCCAGGGAATGAACTCTAGTTTTCTAACGGATTAGCCGAGATACTTAACGCCACATGGACAGGTTGACGTTTGTGCCGCGTGAACGGGCTGGTGTGGGTTTGTGGGGG